TAAAATGAAGTTTTAGTAATTGCAAACATTTAAGATTTATAGTTTCTCAATATTACTTCAATTAATAATATAGTAGAGATTAAAAAAATAAACTATCAAAGTTACATTTATGATTTTATTTTAAGTTCAAATTATTGATTAATATAATTTCAAGATAATAATTAAGATTAGGAAAATAAGTAAGATGAAGACATATTAACTAAAGTATTCTTAAATGATCATTCTCTTTTGGCTATGTTTTATATTAGTGGAGAGCCAATTTTTAGTGAGGATGGGAAATATCTTGCATTGAGAAGGTCAAATAATATTCAAATTGTAGATGTAAAATTTAATTTTAGATAAGATAAAAAATTATGGGTAGATATTTTATTATCCTGATGTAGAATTAATATTTTTATTTATAAATGAAAGTATTTCAATTTTAGATTACAATAATTAAATAATAGTAGATAAATTTTCAAGTAAAAGAGGTTTAAATTTCTATAAATTAGAAATAATTTGCTTTATTAGGATAAAATTTTGCGAAGATCTTTTTATATCAAAATTAAGAAGAGATTATATTATAATAGACAATAAATGAAAATGAAAAAATAATTAACTGTATTGCTCTATCTCCAGGTTGGTAAAATAAAGATGATTTCACAAATTTAATTTCATTATGGAAATTGAAAGAAGGGGAAAAGCTATGTATGAAAAATTAAATACCTGATTAAGTGAAAATTATTAAATTTTGTCCAATCAATTTTGTTGTAGGTTTATTTGATGGATCTGTTAATTTATATTCTCTAAACTCACTATAATAATATAAAATATTATGTTTTTAAAAATTTGCCAAATCATCATTATTGTTTGCTCTTAAGAATTATAATTAGATCACACATATTCTTTAGCCATTTTGATCTAGAAGAAGGAGAAAATAAAATGATTATAAGTATATAAACTTGTTTGATAAATATAACCATCATATCTATAATTACATTCATATAGTAATTTTCTTTAAATTCTTCATTTTTATGTTTGATTCGCTCTAATAAAAATTATTAGTTCAATTATTAAATTTTATACAAATTTATTCATTTAAATAATGTATTTTATATTGTAGTTTCGCTACAATAATGCTATTAGAGGTATATTAATTAAATTGAAGCCTATTTTTAAAGTAATTATGGTAGTCTTCAGTATGGTAGAGTTTTTAAGTAGTTAAGGAAAAGGGCAGTAGTATTATAAAAAAGGAACTAAATGAAGAGGATTTTTTTCAAATGATCTGAGATTATTCGGTTTAAATTGAAATCTTTATAATCTATAATTTTAATATTTATACTATAAAACAATTTTTTGAAAAATATTTTTACTTAATTTTTCAAAGAATATTTATTTTTTAATATTTTTCATTTTAATATAAGTTCCAATATTTCACATTCTTCTAAATTAGGAGTTGATTGCCCAAATAAATGAATGGTGGTATCTTAAATTTCGTATTTGTCAATTTGATAAGCAGTTCCTAAACTAGAAGAGCCACTTGTAAAATCTGAACCAATATAAATATCATAACCATTTCCAAATGATGGTCCATAAGACTAATGTCTATAAATAGCATGAGCTTTATTTGCTTCCTTAAGTTAATAAAATTAATTATGGGTTTAAGAAAATAGGAAAGAGGATAATGTCTAATCTTAAACATAACCATTTTGTTTTTCTAACCACTAACAAGGAGAATAGCCACCAAATATATTACCACTTTTAGATTTAAATATAATAAGCAAGTTAGATTTTCCATTTATTTTACCCCAGCATTTTGAATTATTTAAACCATCTCTTGTTCCTAAATAGATAAGAAAAGAACAAACTATTTTTATATTAGATTTTTCTTCTATTTATTTACACACTTCTATATAAAATTCTTAATTAAGAAGCTTAGGTTAATCTCTTAAGTTTTGTTTAAATTAGTTAAACTCTTAAGATAATAGATTTTATTATTATTCTAATTTAATTATTTCTTAATCCTTTTTATTCAATTATTAAGATGCTTCTTTTTAATTTTTGGTAATTTATTAATTTAATTAATGTATTTGATTATTAAGAGATTAATTTGATTAATCTAATTACGATTTATTTTATTATAATTTTGATATTTCTTAATTTAACTATTCTATTTAAGTATTCAAAGTTTCAATCCTTTTATTATTATCATTTGATTATTTCTGGAAATCCAAAAAAGATTATTTATTTTAATTAAATTCCTACTCTAATTTTGTTAATAAATTTTAATTTTCATCTGCCTTAATCAATAAATTCATTTTCTTTGAATTTTCCTTGAATACTTCATACTATTGTTAAAGAATATGTGAGGAATCTGAATTAAATAGTTAAGATAATTGTTATTTTTATTTTAAATCGTCAATTTCTTATTGTAACTTTATATAGAAAGTATTTGCATCTTCAATAATTGATAAAAATTGATCTAATTATTAGAATTTCTTAATAATAGATTTAAAATCTGAATTATTTTACGATTCATTATATTAATTAATTTCAATATAATTAGATAACTAACCTTAATCCATATTTTGAATTCTGAGTAAATTATATTTTGTCATTAAATCATATTTCATAAGATTCTCCAAGTTTTATTTTAAATTTTAATAAAAAATTAAATCAACTTAATCTTATTCTTATTACTCTTTTTTTAATCTTTAATGTTTGTCTTTCTAACTCAAAATATCAACAATTTTAAGAATCTCTTATTCATCTTTCTCATAAATATCTTCAACATAATTTAAATTATAATTTTGATTTTCATAATTCATAATCTTTTATCTTTCTAATTATTAAATCAAATCTGATAGGGTGTGATCGTATATATCTTTTAATTATTAAATTAATTTAATTACAGAACTAAACTTAAATTATCTATCATTATTATATTTAGAAATCATTTATTTTTATTATCCTTAAAATTCTTTCCATTTTATATTTGCATCTTCTATTGTAATATATTCTCTTTTTGGAAATTATTAAATACATTTTTCACAAGCCAAACCACTTTATTCTAATTAATCTTGATTTAAGTTCATCATCATGATTTTCTTACCATGTTGATTACATAATTATTTTAATGTTGGTGTTTCCTAATTATATAAGTTTATAAATAATTACATGCTTATTAAATTTTCTCTTAAGAGTTGGTTATCCTAATTAAAATAAAGATTTTAGTTGTTAAATTTATTCAAATATTTCAGAAAACTATTATTTGTTTGATGTTTACAAAAGATCATTTTAAATTTTATCAAGTAATTAAACAAAATTGTCTAAATTATATTTTTATTTGGGTGGATCAAAATTAGAACTTCCACTTCCATTTTTTACAAACGATAAAGTCTCAATATCTTTATCCAAGATTAATTCATCTGTTAAATTTTTTTTTAATTCAATTTCTTATTCATTTAAGTTAATATTTTCTTTTATTTTATTCTATAATTTTTCGAAGACTATAGAAAATTGTTCATTGATCTTTGAGACTGAAGATTAAAGATTCTACATATTTGTTAAAGCATCTTAGGTTTTCTTTACTGCATCTTCTTTACATTTTGTTTTCATTTCTTTTATCATATTAATAGCTTCCTTTAATAAGACAATATAATTTCCATCTATTCTTTCAATTAAACATTTAGCACATAAATATTTTTATTTTTGCTCTTTAGCCGCATTCAAATCTACAGCAAGTATCTCTAATAAATGAGCTTAACACATTTTGATTTTATTATCATTAAAAGACATTTCTAGAACAAAAAATTAAATAATTAATAATTATTAATATTACATTTATTAAAGCTAAAATTATATAAGTAAGTGTATTAATTAGTTAATTATTAATATTTTTTATTTGCATAGTTATTTTATTAGATAGTTTTGAGTAAAAATTTTGAATATTCTCTTCAAAGGATCTTAAATATAATACTGAATCAAAGAATCAAATATTTTAATTTACCTTATGAAAATGAATGATCTATAATTTTCTATATAATAGCCATCTATGTATAACAAAACAAAATTAAAAGAAAGAATTAACAATAAAATTAAACAATTTGTGAGCCTTAACAAACTTCCCCAATTTGAATTTACAATAAAATATGAATTAGAAAAAATTAGAAATAAAGAAATGAATTTGATATGAATATCTATTTTAAATTATTTTCTAAAACTGTTTAGAAGATTCTAAAGATAATTTAGAAAACCATAAGAATTAAAAGAAAGAATTAGATTTTTATTTTGATCTTTTGAAGTTGAATTTTAATACTGGAAAAAAAAAGAGAAATAAATCATGAATAAATCTAATTATATATTGATTAAGGTTTTATAAAATCAAGATGGAGGATCTCTTACTAAAAAAATGTTTTATTTAATTTTATTGTTATACCAAGATCCTAGCTAAGAATATAAATACTATGATTAATTTTTAAGCTTAATCATCAGGTTGAGCTGGGAATTCATTCATAAAACTTTCCTAACAAAAACCCATTAATTTCAGTGCTTCAAGTAAATGTCTCATTGGTTTGAACTAACAATTTTGAAGTTATAAATTTGATAGGTATATTTGTCTACATTTTACATTTGATAATTCGCAAATACCATTAGATGAGTAAATTTGCATGAGCCTGTTAATTAATAGACAGCTGTACAATTTTGTGGAATGCATTAAGAAATATCATTTTAAGTAATATAGGTACATTATTTAATAGATGGATATTTAGTCTAATCATTTATTATGGAACATTCTGTAAGATTAGAAAATTTTTTCATAACTCTAATCTAAACTTCCTTTGAATTAGAATTGGATTTCATGCAAAATTCTAATAATAAATAAAAATAAGAAGTTTTCAAAATGAATAAAGCACTTATTCTTTGATATTTAACTAAAATCTCAAATACCAATAAATATAATTTAGGGTAGATTTATAATGGCTTAATCAAATTGTTTGTTGTTTTCTGATATTTGAGTGTAATTATGAATTTAAATTTCCAATCCAAAAAACAAGCTAAAATTTGTCTCTTTTTGATTGAAATTATATAAATATTTTTGATTATAAAATCATAAAATCTCAAATAATTTTGATCTTAAAATCATAAATCATGAATTTTAAAATTTTTATAAAATTTTATGTAAAGATTCATATAAAAATTTTTGTTATAATTGTGTTTGTTATTAATTTCGGACTCAAAATTAATTTTAAAAAGGCATCAACTTGATTTATTTGAATTTACCTTCATAAGAGATTTAAAACTGTTATTGTATTATTGACTTATTTAGTTTGTTGTAATAAAAAATACAACTTTTGAAACAATTTGTTATATTAATATTTTAAGATAATAGTTCGTCTTTTTATTTTGGTTATTTTAGTCCTATCAAAATATCGAATAATAATCACATACTTTAAATTCTTACATTAAACTTTATTAGTATATAAAATAATCAATGAATATGATTTATTTTTTTTCATTGTAAATTTTAGCAATAAAAATAAAGGCATTTGAATTAGTAGAGATGGATTCCTCTTATTAGTATTCATCAGAGATAATTGATTTGAAATAATTGGGGGAATCAGAAGAAATCTCATATGGATATGGAATATGGTCAAAATATAACCCTTTGAGTACAATATCTTAAGTTGGAATGATTGGCTTATTTGATAGTGATTGTTTTCACATTAGTAATGTAGTTGATTAATAAACTTTGAGTTTGAACTTAATTTATTATGATTGTCTGGATTTCCATCTTTAATAAATTTAGAAGACAATATAATTTATAGATAATGAAGGAAAATAACATAAATACTAACTAAATATAGATAATTTTGAATACGAAAATGTTTGGTTTTATTTTTAATTATTACAATGGCCTAAATTAAGCAGACTTGAATTAATTATATTTTAATTAGGAAAAGCAAGTATGAAAAAGAGTTTAGTAATTTAACATCCCTTCAATGATATTAAAATATAAATAAATTATGGAGGAGGATTAAAAGTACAAAAATCATTGATTACATCAATTGAATTAGGAAAACAATTTTCGTTTTTTCCAGGAAAAATGATTTTGTCCAAATTTAGGATTTTATAATAAACTCCAGATTAAGACTTCGAATAATTAGCAATTGAAGCATTTGAACCATATAAAAATTGTATTTGTCAGAATAGTGAGATTGTTGAGATATTTGATGTTGATATAAAATATCTGAGTAAGTTAACATTTTTATCAGACTAACTTAATTGTGATAGCTATATTTTATCTGGATGGTTTAAGATAATAGAAATTTTATCAGAATCAAATGAATTCATTTATTAATTATTAAAATTGTCATCTAATTATGAAGGATAGTTATCTGATTCTAATTTGTCACCATTTTAATTATTTTACTATATTTCTAATTTTGGGAATCAAATACTCATAACAACATACAGTTATTTATTTCCTTAAGTAAATATTAATTTTAAGGATAATCCATACCTAATTACAGATAAATTTGAGATTACAAATTTATTAAGCTTCTGGCATTTTATAAATATTTAGTAGATTGAAAATAATTTAAAAATTCTTATAAAAATATTTGAAGTAGATCATATTTCTGAGTATTTTACATAAATTGAAGTGAAATAATTTCATAATTTAAGATTAAAATTATAATATGGAAATATTTTACAAAATTGTAAAGATTACTTAAATATTTAATACAGAAAACTAATTTTACATAATTGTGAACAATATATTGATTAGAATAATTGCCATTATAGTTGCGAATCATGTAATGGACCATCTAAATTTGATTGTCTTTCTTGTTCATTAGAATCACATAGAATTTATATTTCTAAATTTCAAGCTTGTGTTTGTCCTTATAATATGATAGATGATAAAATTTGTAAATCATACAAAGACCTTGAATTATAATTAATTCAAGGTTATAAAAATGATAAATTATGTGAATATGGTTATTTTGAATATTAAGGAGATTGTCTAAAATGGTATTATAATAAATATATAATATAGTCCTTCTATTGTAAGAGAGAATCGAATTTCATGTGGAGATTGTTTGTAAAACCCAAAAGATTGGAGTAAAAATTCAGAATGTACATATAATTTATACTTGAATTCTTAGGAAGATACCTAAGAATTAGATGTGAAAAGTGGATACTATGTTCTTTTTGATGGAGATAATATTAATTATTGCCTATATTGTAATTAATAAAACTCTTTTGTTGTTGATGGACATGATATAAATTTTGAAATAGAGAATTCAGCATCATCATAACATTGGTGTAATGATTATTTAAATAATTGTCTATATTGTATTTTCTCTATAGGAGAATAGATTTGTTAAAAATGTTAGTATGGTTACAATTTGATAAATAATAAATGTACAAAAATTGATGAAACTGAAATCATCTGTTTGGATCGATAATATATAACATCAAGAAAAACTTGCAGATATTGTTCTATAAAAAATTGTAAATATTGTTTTGAATATCAAAATGATTTGAGTAAATGTACATTGTATAAGGAATTTGAAACATTCAATACAGATGAAGAAATTAAAATTGGATGTGCTCTTTGTGATAATAATTATATATTTGATTTCACTTCTGAATAATGTATTTACAAAGTGCCTTCTATATAGTAATGTATAAGATCATTCATTAATTTAAATGGTAATGAAATATGTACATTAGCTGCTATTGATGATTTTAATATTGCACCTGAAATTTAGAATTGTTAAAAATATTAACCTTTTTGTTAAACATGTATAAAATCTCCATAAAATATTATTAAATGCATTATTTGTAATATTGGTTATACAGCTTCTATTATAAATGGAGGGTGTTATTTGAGCAAAGAAAAAGATTTATAAACAAAAATTATGATTGAAGGAGATTATAGTTCACAAAATGGATGGATTTAAAGAATTTAAGGTTTTATGATGAAATTCTTACCTAATTAATATTTCTATCCTCATTCTGATGTATTTGTTAGTACAGTTGAAATAAGAGTTGATTGTATTGATGGATATTCATTATCTGAACACAGATAATGTCTAAAATCATGTTCCTCTGAATGTTTAACTTGTATAGAAAGTCCCTATTATGGCTTTGTTTGCTAAAAATGTCCTCTTAATTAATATTTAAAGCCAATTAGACTCTAAGATTAAGGTATTTGTTTTGAATGTACTTAATTGTGTTAAATCTGTGAAATAAGATCAAATTATGAAATTTATGTAATTTTTATAATAAATTTATTTAGACTTTATAACCTACATTTATTATCAAGGATGATAATATTCATTATACTTTTAAATGTTTAAAACCTATTCAAGATCCTTATGTCTATCTTGATCCTTATGATTCTATTGCAAAGCATTGTTTAGATGATATCAATTGTTAACCTTAGTTGTTACATTTATCTAATTATTAATATTGTGAAGCAATTGATTAAACTTGGGAAAATAGCATTAATATAAATTATTGCAATCAAATGGGAATTGATACTATGATAATTAATGTAAATTTTCTTGAAAGTTCTACCATATACTGTTATCTAGAATCTTTTTTAGCTTAAAACTTTTTAAAATCAAAGATATTTCCCTTAAGAAAAATCTATTTTTAATTTACTTCTGCTGAAATCATGATTCTTAGAACTGGAACAAATATTTTAATAATAAACTATGACATTTTAGAAATTTGTAATGTAACCTTTCAAAAAAGTAAAAATGAAGTATTTATAATCAAAAACAATAATCAAGTTGTTGATTTACATTTATTTAATTTTTCTATTGCTGATAGCTATATTACCAACACTTCTTCTATTTTTTAAACTGATATTTTTAAAGATGTTCTTTTAATAAATGTAGCTATTATTAATTGTACATTTCTAAACTCAACCTTCCTTAATTTTGTTAAATTTCCTATTTCTGGAAATATTTAAATAGAAAATCTTTAAATCAAAAACTGCACATTTATATAATCGGAGTTATTTATTATCAAACTTATGTAAGGGTCTATTTAAATTGTAAATCTTGAAATAGAAGAAACTTATTTATATAATTCTACTCTATACTCTATAAATTCCAATTTTTTAAACTCTATCATAAAATTTCACAATTTCATTATTAGAAACAATAAGTTTTATCATTCTTCTTTTTAAAAAAGTAACTCAAATTTACATTAAAACTTAGTAGACATCATATTTTCGTAAAATTATCTGTCAAACTCAAATACTTTTGACTTTAATCACAATTTCACTATAAGTAATATTTTAATTACTTAAAATGATTTTAAAGATTCAGCATTCTTTTTTACAACAGAAACTCTTCTTTTGTTTTAATTAACTTTAAAATTACACTTCCTTAAAGCAAAGGATAATTACTTTACCAGTTCAAATATCTGGAAAATTTAGTCAAGTTTAGAAACTAGCAATTTGATACTAAGTCTTTCAGAACTTCTCTTAGAGGATCTTTATAGTTCAAATCAATTATAATACTTATTCAAATTAAAATGTTAAAAACTATTATTAGAAGATGTTTTTATAAAAAATTTAAGCAATACTTTTATTTTTTACATTTATTAAAGTAATTTCATCTATCTTAATAACATTATATATGAAGGCTCCTCAATTTAGTATTAAATTCCACTAATTTAATCATGTTAAGAAATTACAAAATAATAAAACAAGCTTTTAAAAATTATGGGTTTTTATTAAATTTAAATTAAAAAACTAGAAATATCTCACATTTTTAATTTAGATGAATCTAGTATCGATATCAATAATAATAATGAAGAATTAAATACTGGATAACAATTAGTTTAAATATAAGATATAGTATTTAAATAAAACCTTGTTGTATTACTGAATTTAATAGAATTCACTTCCCTCTTAAAAATTCATTCAGAAAGAAATCTTAATATAATTATAACAAATATTGAATATTTGCAGAATATTTTTCATTCTTATGCTGATAGTTCTTTCAAATCTTATTCAAGTTTGATTTATTTAAATTGCAAGACTTGCATAGTGGAAATCAATAATTATTCATCCTAATTTAATGTATTTTCTAATTCTACAAATTCATTTGTTTATATTAATTCAAAAATCATAAATTTTAACAATTATAGTGTTGAGAATCATAATATATTACCTTCAAGACTTTGGTCTAAATATTTTGATTTTGAAATAAATGGTGATTATAATTAAGATGAAATCAATTAAATTATCAGTTAGGCATTAATGATAAAAAACATTGGTGGAGTAGCTTAATTAACAACATCTAATTTTACATGCATAAATTGTAGTTTCTAGAAAATAAAAGCATTTAAGAGTGCTGTGTTTGAAATAATTACAGAATAAGATGGTATAATCTAACTTTTAGAATTATCAATATCATAAATTGAACATAATCTATAATCATTAACTAATAGTTCAGGTTGTATAAGTATTTATTCTTAGAATAGTTTTCTTAATCTTAAAATATAGAATTCATATTTTTCAGAAATATTAAGTCGAATGGCTCCATCAATATTTACTATAATACCATCCAGCATTTAAAATACTATACAAATCACAAATATAAAAATAACTAATTGTTTATCCTTAATTAATTCTATTTTAAAAGCTTCATTTTAAAATAAGATAGCTTAATAAAACAAAATAAGTTTTTCTAGTATCATAATCATTTAAAGTGAAGAAAACTGGATTAAATATTTTTCTAAAATTGAGGCTTTAACAACTGTAGAAATTGAGGAAATAACAAGTGAAGAAAATGCACTAATATATTTTGACAGTTGTTCTGTTAATGTTAAAAATTTAATAATATCAGGTTTATATCTTTCTCCATTATTAAAAGTTTCAAACATTCCAAATTTTAATTTACATAATGTTTTACTTGAATAAATTCAAATTTTTTATTCTTTTAATGTTATTGATATTCAATAAGCACTTAAGACTTAATCTACAGTAATCTTACAATAATTAAGTATAATAAACACTTAGCCTTATTAAGCTCTCTTTACATAAAATATGGTTTCTAAAAATATCTATGTTAATAAAAATTGTGTAAAAACAATTATACATATAGATGAAAGATTCTCAACATTTTTAAATATTCAATCTTTATTTTTGATATAAGCTAAAAATTCTTCATTAATTAACATTAAATGTGATTAAGATACAAATAGATATAAATTAAATCTAATAAAGCTATAAAAAAATAATTGCACTTTTTGTACTCATGGTTTGATTTATTTTAATGTTTAAAAACTATAACATCTGAGGATTCTTGATTTAGATTGTAATTCAAATCTAATCTAATCTTATGGTTGTTTAAATTTAGTTTAATCTGCTATAAAATCATAATTTATAACGGCAATTAATTCATATTTTATAAATAACAGTGGAAGTAAAGGAGTAGCAATTTCTTCTTCTGGAATTCCACTTATTTTAAAGAATTGTTGGATAATTAATAATAATGCTAGTTAATAAGGTGGAGGTCTTTATTTAGATTTGCATAATAGTAGTTTTTTAATTAAAAAATCATTCATAATTTAAAATAGAGCATTTTCAGGAGGAGGATTATATCTAGAAAAAAATAATAATGTCAATATTAATAACTTTATTGATAGTTTATTAATTTTAAATAAAGCAAATAGTTATGGAAATAATCTTGTAGAAAGTCCAACAAGCTTAGCTTTAAGTATTAACTCAAATTAAATGCAGTCTTCAAGTTTAATTTTGAATTATACATAAACAAATATTCTTTTTTTAAAGTCTTATACAACAATAGAGTAAGAATAAAAAATAAGAAGTGAGTTGCTTAGGATTCCAAGTAATCAAGTTATTAGAGATTATAACATTTTAATACCTAAATAATCTACTTCCTATAAATTATTCAAAGATCTTAGTATATCTTTTAAGAATAGTGAAAATGAAATGCTATTTCATTAACTTAATTCAACCTGTAATGTAAGTCAATAAGTTATTTTTAAAGATAAAATACAAAGCAGTATATAGCTTGGAGAATTAATTTACAATGAAACAAAAAATAATTTTGATATGGGATCTTTGTCTTTTCACTTTAATCCATATGAAAACAATAATAGTTTTTTATAGATTATTATTACATGCAATCCATAAAATTATTCTAAAAAATTAGAATATATTATCAGAGCAAAAAGTTATAAATGTTAATTAGGAGAATTTTATGTTGATGAAGGATGTTAGCTTTGTTAATCAAATTAAGGCTTTTATTCAGTTACTTATAATGATACAAAATGTTCAATATTTGATAAATAAAAATTTTAAAGTATTACTTCAAATGAATTAAATTTACAAGTTGGATATTGGAGACCTCATTATTTATCTGATTAAATTAATTATTGCTTTAAAAATTTTGAAAATTGCAAAGGAGGTTGGTCTGTAGGTAATGAACTTTGTATTGAAGGACATTTAGGAGCTTTATGTGAAGAATGTGATATTTATAATATTAGAGGTGGAGGTAAATACTTTAAAAATTCAGAGAATTCAAAATGTTGGTCTTGTTTTGGAATATCTGATAGTATTATACCATTTGTTATGAATTCTATTTGGTATGATTATTTTATATTTTAGGGCTATGTTATCAGTTCTTTTATCTTTAAGAAGTATCAATAAATCTAATGATCTTTTTATATTTTTAAAAATAAAGGAAAGATTTAGTTAAATCATTTTTAAATTAAATTAAGGTATTTAATTTTATTGAATTAGATTTTGAAAGTATCTTTATTAAAATGATGTTAAATTATTTTTGGATATTTTCATTAATATTTACTTTTAATATAAGCTTTACAATCTCTTTTAATTTTATTGATAAAGCCAGCAATACTTCTTACTCTATGGCCAACAATCTAGATTGCTATTTATCAGAGATAACAATCATCAACCTACTTTATTTGAAAGTCTTTACAATCATTATAATTATATTATGGTAATTTTTGATAATTTTTTCCATATTCTTAATAAATTGCATTTATAATAAAGAGAAATTTAAATTTCGAATTGTGTCCAATATTTTACTGTGCCTTTATATTTTTAATTACTAAGGTCTTATTAAAATGTAATTATTATTATATCTTAGATTGGGTTCCATAGTATCATTAAGAGAAATATCGAATTAATAATATGTTCAAGGTGATGTTTCAATTAAGTACAATTCTGAAAGTCATTTTTAATGGATGCTATTTTTCATAGTTCCTTTTCTAATTATTTTTGGTGGATTAATTCCCTTTTTCCTTTTCTTAATCATAGTTATCTAGAAAGAACATATTGAAAAAGGAGAAAAGATGAGAGCTCATATAAGTTATTTACTTAATGAATATGAAAAAAAATGCTATTATTGGGAATAAATTAAATTATTATAAAAAGCAATTATGATATTAATCTTGACATATTTTGAGACCAATATTTTAATGAAAGCATCACTATTAGGACTTTGCTTATTATTTTATCAATTATTATCATCAAAGAATAGGCCTTTTATAACATCAAAATTAAACAATTTAGATTTATAAAGTGGGTAAATTTGTTCAATCTCCATATTTCTGGCAACAACTAAATATGTTAGTGAGGAATAAAATAATAAATTTTCTTCCATGATCCTCTAAATAATATTAATATTACTTTTTATAATGCTTTCATATCCCTTTATTCTATCTATTTTGATAATTTACTTTAAAAAATACAAAATTCTATTTATGACTTATTTAGGATTTCTAATGAAAAAATTAAAACTAAAATATCTTTAAAATACTATATCTGAAGTACTAAAAAAAGAAGACTTGAAATAAGCCAAATTAAAACAATATTTCTTAAAATTAAGAAAATATTTAATGAGCATTTCTAAATCATAAATAAAGAATCGACCGTATAATTATATAATATTTTTTAGATTGGCTCCTTCCAAAAAGATAAATTAATAGAATGTTTTTAGTACTGAATTCATAAATTAGTCTATGAACATTCTAAGTTTAGATAGAGGAAATATGTGATCAGTTCATATTGATATTTTATTATTATTAAAATAAAATATTTAATTCAATAAATAATTTTATTAATAAATATCATTTGTCTTAAAAATACAAATATAATTTTTTTAGAAATTCCTTGAACCTATGGCAAAGATAATCCAGAAGAATTTTGAATTCCTAATCTTAGGCTGATATTAATTTGTTTATCATTTTAATTAAATATTTAAATTTTCTTCAATATAGTTTTGGAATAATTTAAATAAATAAGGTTGATAATTTTTACTTTTTACCTTGATACAAAATTACTTTATTATGGTCAAAAAGTTGTTTATTAAAATTTATAATCTTCAAATACAAAAGAAATATATATAAATTTTAGAGAAATATTGTAAAATGTTATGCAGAATCCAAATGTAACATTTTGAGAAAAATATTTTAATTAAAGTTCCTTTTAGTTAAAACCAATTTCCGAATTAATTTATTAAAAATTTATTATGTGTTATATAATACAACTTAATTTTCTTTATATAAAAAAAAAGCTTACAAACATATTTCTTTAAGAAAAATCAACAGCTTGATTCTAAATATCTTTTCTCTATTGAAATATTTTATTATTAATTAAATTTCAAAAGCCAATGCTTATATTTCTTTAGGTTTGTATTTTACCACTTTTAATGAAATTAGGTAATACTTAATATGTATCATTTTTGGATACCTAATATTAGTTTAAAACAATCCTTTTGAATATAGAGTAAGAAAACTTTTAAAAATTGGATCATTTTATATATGGTATATGGAGTAAATATCTTCCTTTAAGTATAATATCTTAAGTTGGAATGATAGGTATGTTTGAAAGTCACTGTTTTCATTTAACTTCTGTTTTAGAAAGAACAAGTAAAGAAATTAATTTCATTCATTATGATTGTGTTGATCAATAAAATATGAAAATTAAAAAGATTGTTTAATTTATAAGTAAAGATAACCAACCCTATTATTTTGAAGTATATCTTGATTCTTTAAAATATGAAAATTATTGGTATTTTTTTGGAATGTCAATCATGCCATTTGAAAAATAATTTGTGTTTAGTATATTTTAAAATGGTAATTTACAAAAACATTAAGAAATTGAAATAGAATTACCCTTTAAAAATCATGATTTAGAAATTGTAATTGGTGGTGGCCTATAAGTAGATGAAAAATAATATTAAAATTCAAGTGGTTAAAAACTTTCATATTTTCCTGGCAAATTAGACTTATACCATCCATTTAAAATAAATAAATTACCAATAAGTTTATAAGAATTTTTTCTAAGCATTTCTACTATGTATAATCCGAAATGCATTCCTAAATCTAATCAAATTTAAAATTTTCCTGATTTTGAAATAAATAAATTGAATACCTAAGTTTTTGCTTCTGAAAATAAAAATTGTGATTCATTTTCTTTGGAAACATGGATTAAAATCTAAGATTTCCATCTTGAGGAATCTGTTTCCTTGTTTTAATTATTAAAATTATCATCTAATTTTGAGAATATATATGCCAATAATGAAAACTTATCAGCATTTTAATTATTTTATGAATTTTAAAATTCTGAAATAAAACTAATAGTTAGTACTTATAGCTATTTATTTCCCCTTGTTAACTTTAATTTTGAAAAAGAAAATTTTTTGATAAAAAAAGAATGGATAATAAATGATAATTTAAAATAATGGCATTTTTTATCAGTTATTTTAAGAGATAATTTAATCACGATATAGTTAACATTTTATAAAGGATTTGATTAACAATTTTATGAAACATAAATTTAAGTTAATTAATTTCATGAAGTTTAATTTAAATTATAATTAGGAAATATTTTTTAATCATTAAATAATTACTTGATTGGTATTTTATAAAATATCAAATTTACAAATTTTGCTCCTTAATTAAATAGTATAAAAAGTTGTCATTATAGTTGTAAAGAATGTGATGGTCCTACTTATACAGATTGTTTATCTTGTTTAGAAGAATCTTAAAGAATATATCTTAAACAATTTAAAGTATGTGTTTGCCCATATGATTTTGTTGATGATATTGAATGTAAAAATTTTGAATATTTTTAATTATCAACTAAAAAACAACTTTAATTTAATATAGAATAAAATTGTCCTTAAGGATATTTCAATCAGGATGAAGTTTGTTTAAGATGGTAATAAATTATAATTTATATAGTCCCTCCCTTATTTTCGATAATTCAATAACATGCACAGAATGCATTTAAAATCCAAAAGAATGGTAATATAATCCTTATTGTTAAACAAATCTTTATATTGATAATTTAGGAAGTCCAGCTTAATATATTATTAATGATTTAAAGATATTTTATATATTTGATGGAATTGATCTTAAGCCAAGTTTATAGTAGTTAAATGACTAATAAGAGAAAATTGAAAATACTTTTTTTGATTATGCAAAAACAACTTAAAATTTTAATTATTTATGCTCTTTTTCTACTATAATGGATTGTTATCCTTGTACCATTGAGAATTGTGAAGTTTGTGGCTTCTAATTAACGAAATTTATTTGCATAAAATGCTCTTATATTGCTAAATTAGTTGATGGATCTTGCATATTAAAAATTAAAGGCTAAATAAAATTAAATAATTGTACTACTCCTTATTACATTTCTTCTGAAAAGAGTTGCAAATTATGCAAAATAGAATATTGCTAATATTGTTTTGAATATCTCATGAATGATTTAACAAAATGTACACTTTATTATAATTTTTAATCGTTCCCAATTGATGAATTTCTTAACATAGGATGTGCATTATGTGATGTAGGATTTATATTTGATTTTCAGAAAGGAAAATGCTTATTTAAAGATTCTAAATTACCTTATTGTTTAAGATCATTTATAAATTTATCAGGTTAAGAATTATGTACTTTATCATCGATTTAAGACTTTAAAGTTGCTCCAGAAATAATAAATTGTTAAAAATATATACCTAAATGTAAATAATGTATATAAACTCCATAATCAATATTAAAATGTATTATATGTGAAGATGGGTATTCAAGTTCTTTAATAACTGGTCATTGTACAATTTGTACTGTAAAAAATGCTAAATATTGTATAGAAGGAGATTATACGAAATCAGATGCATGGATATAATTAATATAAAGCTTTTTAATGTTATTTTTACCTAATAATTATATTTATCCTAAATCGCCTGAAACTTAATATATAATTTCTCTTCCAGTCTAATGTATCGATAAATATGAATTAAATTAATAATATTGTGACTTATATTGTGATTAAAATTGTGCTTCATGTCAAAAAATCTAAGAACCAAAAAATGGATTTATTTGTAAAAAATGCTTTTTAAATTATTATATGGAATCTTATAGAACTGTTGAAAATGGGAATTGTCTTGCTTGTCCTCCATTATGTTAGGTTTGTTAATCAAGGACAATTGAAGAAATCTAAGTATAATAGTAATATCATTTTATAGAATATTAATTCTTTATTTGTTATAACTGACTAAAATAAAATATATACTTTAAAATGTATTAAAAAATATCCTGATTCAAATATTTTTTTGGATCCTTATTATTAAACAGTTAAATATTGCATTAATGGTCAATGTGAATATCTTTTTTCATACTAAGTAAGACTTTAATAATTTTTTAGATTGAAAACAATTGTTAATAATTATTAGAAATATTTTATGAAGAAATGCTCTTTTTTTTTATGAATAAATTTAATTCTCAATATTTAAATCATGTTGGAATGCAAAAACTTTAAATTATTATTCCAATTTATGAATTATGTATACAAACTCCAATAACAGAATGGAAAACCTTAATTAATTAATTAAAATCATAAATTTTTACATTAATTTGGGCATAGTTGATTTTTGAAGGAAATTACTCACTATCATCATATTAACCAAAAATTAAGATTGTTAACTTTGATTCAATTCAAATTACTAAATTATAATTTCTTATATATGAGACATTTGAATTTAAAACTTTTAATAATGATAAACCTATTAATTTTACATTTTCTGATTCAATTTTTTTATCAGAAAATACTAATATACTTAAATTTTAGATAGAAGTTGATTAATGTCATTATCTTGATATTAAAAATATCACATTTAAAAATATAATAATTTAAAATTCTATTTTATTTTTGATAAATTTTTAAGTTTAATCAAATTCATTTTCTATATTTAATTTAACTATGAAAAACTGCAATTTAACTGATACTACTATATTTTAAATAAAAAATGCTTTATTTGATGTCCAAATAAAAAATATTTTGATAGAAAATTGTTACTTTTAGAACTCAACTATCTTACAATTTATAAAAGATATTAATTCTTCATCATTAATAAATATCAATAATATAAATGATCTTATAATTATGAAATCACATTTTCATAATTCATTGTTAATTATTGGGTTATAATCTCACTCGTTTAATCTAAAATAAATTTCTTTAATTAAAAATGAATTTTACTCTTCAAAATTTATGATATTTCAAAATAATCTTAATATCATTTAAACAATTTTAAAAGATTGTTCCCTTTATTAGTCAGATTTTCTCATTAAGTTGTCAAATACAAATTCAAATACATTATTAATTGATAAAATAGATATTTAAGATAATATAATCATGAATTCTTCTTTTATTTTAACCGAATAACAATCAATAATTCATCAAGTAGTTATTAAAATAAAAAATCTTTATATATAATCTAATAAAGTACCAAAATAATCAAACTCAACTAAATACCTTTTTTATTTTAATTGTTAGAATTTATACCTATAAAATTTTGAGATTATGAATTCTAACTATTTTAAATATTTTTATTTATTAAGTGTCTCTTCTATAAATGTAGAAGATTTAATTTATGTGAATTTATTGTAAAATTTGAGAATACCAATATCTATTGAATGTTTAGAAATAGATATAGAAAGTTCATAGCTATTTTATATTTCAGGTTTTTTAACAGTGTCATTTAATAGAATATAAATTATAAATCAGTATAGCATTGATTAATCATTTATTTAAATTTAATCGAATTAATCTGTATTAATATCAGAATAAGAATAAATTTATATAAAAGATCTAAGCCTTTAAGGGAATATTTTAATTAAAAAAAATTTAGGTCTCATTTACTCATTATTAACTATCTATTCTGAAAGAAAATAAAAAATTACTTTAGAAAACATTTATTTTAAAGAAAATAGTTTTAATTAAATTATTGATGATCCATCCTAAGTTGTATCTAGTTTGTTGTATATAAATTCGTAGTCTAGTTTAGTTTTTATTACTAATTTAACATCATAAAGAAATTCATTAACTAATTCAACTTCTCCTTTTATCTATATTAAGGCTAATACCATTGCCATAACTACTATGTTAATAAGCAATCATAATTATTTAAATTAATCATTTTGGAATTAATATTTTTAAGTAGATTTGAATGAAAATTTTAATTAGGAATAAATTAATCAAATTGCTATCAAGATATTTTCAATTAAAAATAAAGGAGGTGTTTTATCTATTACTACTGAAAATTTTTAATTAGATAATAGCTTCTTTAAAGAAATATTAGCTTAAAGTAGTTCAATAATTGATATAGTAACTTAAGGTTAAGGCATAGTTAAAATTAAAAATTGTTAAATGCATTCTATATAAAATATTTACTCTTTAATTGAAGATAATGAAGGAGCTATCTCTATTTATTCAAAAAATAGTCTTTTATTATTGGAATTGTAAGATATAATTTTTAATGAAATGAAAAATAAATTGGCATCTTCATTATTATCAGTAATTCCATCATATAAGACAAATAAAATTAAATTTTAAAATATTATTATCAAAAATTGCATCTCTCTCATAAATCAATTTATGAACATCAAATTTTAACTTTTGAATGTAAATTCGAATTTTGTGCAAATGGAGAATATACAATTATTTTAAAGTGAAGATTAATTTTTGTAATATTTTTAAAATATTGGTTCTATCACAACCTATGAAATTAAAAAAATTACTAATGATAATGCTATAATTAATTTATAAGGATGTAATTTATCAATTAAAAATTTAACATTTAGTGGAATTTTATTATCATCTATTTTAAAACTTGTAGATTTACAAAATATATATCTAAAAGATATTAGGATTTATTAAGCTTAATTATTTTATCCAATCAATTTATTACATTTCGGTTAAGCATCATCAATCTCTTATAGAGCAATTTTATAAAATATATTAATAAAAAATTTGACTACATATAATTTTTCAAAATTAAACATGAATATTATCCCACAATCTAACTATGAAATAAGTAAAAAATAATGTATTATAAATTTTTAATAAATGAATTTAAATTTAGAAATGCCAAAATAAGTTTCTTGGATTTTTGAACAAATTTTAATATTATCAAATTAATAGGGAAGTTTATTATATTTTTAAAATGACCGATCTTAAATCAATATAAAAATGTTTTAAATAATTATATAAAATAATGATTGCTAAGAATGTTGGAATGGGATGATATTTTTTGATTTAGCATCATACTTGTCAATTTAAATTACAGAATTAACTTGTATAATGAATAAAATTAAAAACTATGGATGTTTAATTGGTAGATCAAAATATTAAGAAGAATCTAAATTATTAATAAAGAATTCTTTATTTTACATGAATTTTGGAAATATCGGAACAGCAATAACTATTGAAAATATTAAATTAGTACTTTAAAATTCTAAATTGTTAAATAATCATGCTACATCTTTAGGAGGAGCACTTTATCTTAAATTGTAAAATAATGAGTTTAAAATAAGTAAAACTCTAATATTGAATAATAAAGCTTAAAAAGGAGGAGGAATTTATTTAGAAGGAAAAAGCAATTTAAATCAAAAAAATTTAATTAAATCTTAATTGTAATTAAATTCAGCATCTTTATTGCCTAATAATCTTTAAGAAATGCCAACTCATTTAGCATTATCAATTAATAACTTTGAAATGCATTCAAATTAAATAAAATATACTCAATTCACATGTAATAGTTTATTTTTAAACCCTTATCGAACTGTTTAATAAGGAAAGATATTATTAACAAAAGTTTTAAAAATACCAAGTAATTAAGAGATAATCAAATATAAGATATATAATATTAAATTGCTGAGATTTTAATAATATTTATAAGAATTTTCTATTTCCTTTAGAAATAGTTTAAATGAATTATTATCTAATTTTTCTAATTCATCTTGTCAAATTTATAAGTAAATTTTATAAAACAATGATAATAATCTTGAAATTATAGATTCAGTGAAAATTGCAAATGCTGAATATAATTCTAAATAAAATAACTTTGATTTGGGTTTCTTATCTATTACAATAGATCCATATCAACAAAATAATGCAATATAATAAATACAAATTTAATGCAATTTTGGTGATTAAGTAAATAATGATTTAATTTATGAAATTGAAATTAAAGGTTTCATGTGTTAATTAGGAGAATTTTACATTTAATCAGGTTGTTAAGTTTGTTAACCAAGTTAAGGATATTACTCAGTAACATACAACTAAACTAAATGTTCAATTTTTGATTAAAATAAATTTTAATCAATAACTTCAAATTAGATTTAACTTAAAAAAGGTTATTGGAGACCTGATTATTTATCTGACTATACAGAATTTTGTTTTAAAAATTCAGAATTATGTGAAGGAGGATGGTAAGTAGGAGATGCTTTATGTATTGCAGGTCATATAGGAGGATTATGTGAAGAATGTGATATATATAATATTAGAGGATATGGGTATTTTTAAAAATTTTAATAAAATGCTGATTGTCGAGATTGCTTATATTCTATAGACATTATTATTCCTTTTATTTTCACTTCCATTTGGTAATTTATAATATTAAATATTATTAGGGCTATCATTTCCACTTTATTAACTTTAAAGAGTATTGATAAATCAAATAAATTATTTTCTAGTTTAAAAATAAGATAAAAATATGCAAAAATTATCTTTAAACTTGATTAAGGTAATGTATTAATTTAATCAATAGATCATGGAAGTATATTGTTAAAACTATTTCTAAATTATGTCTGGATTTTTTCAGTTATATTTACATTTAATATTAATTTTTCCTTTTAATTTACATTTATTGATTAAGCAAGCAACACTTCATTTTTTATGGCTAATAATTTAGATTGTTATTTATCAGAGATAGAAAATATCTATCTCATATATAATAGAATCATTACAATGTTTATTTTAATGATTTTATAACTATTATTAATATCTTTTGGATATAAGATATTTACAATATGTAAAAAGTAGAAATTTAATTATAGCACTATTTCAACTACAATATTACATTTATATATTTCAAATTATGCTTCATTAATAAAACAGTATAAATAAATTATTAATCTTTAGACTCTTATCTTTATTGGCAAAGAGGATTATCTCCAATATTGAATATATATAAGGAGATGTATCATTAAAATATAACTAACCTAATCATCAAAAATGGATTATAATGTTTGTTTTACCAGGATTAGGTTTGATTGGATGCATTATACCTTTTTCAATTTTCTTTCTTTTATACATTAAAAGAGAAAAACTTGATTAAATTAAATTCAGAAAACATATCTGCTATTTATTTAATGAATATAATTATGAAAATTACTCATGGGAATGTGTCAAATTATGTAAAAAAACAATTATTATAATTATTATGACATATTATGAAACAAATATTTTATTAAAAGCTTCATTACTTGGATTATGTTTACTGATTTATTAGTTATGTGCAGTCAAACAAAAACCATATATAATTAAAAATTTAAATGAATTAGATGTATCTACTGGATAAATATGTTCTATTGCTATTTTTTTAGCAGCATTTAAGTATGTAAGTGAATATTGTTATTTACCTGCTGTAATAAGAAAATATTATTACCTCAATTATTCTATAAATGTTTTTAGTTTTCCTATGTTTGAAACTTAGTTATCCTTTTATTGTTGATATATTAAGGGTTTATTATAAAAAGTACAAAATCTCATTGTTGAAAACTGTAAGTCAACTCTTTAGATTCTTTAAATTTCCTACATGCTTAATTTTATTTTTTAATAAGAAATTAAATTAGCTAAGGTAAAGGGAATAGAAATTGAAAACTAATATCATTAAATTAAGATTACATTTATTATAAATTTCTAAATTTTAGCTAGAATAACAAAAGTATCTATTCTAATATTCTTAAGATCCTTAGTTAATTTATTAAGTTCTGAATCTTTATCTAGATAAAAATAGTTTAGCTTTGACATATACAGTTAAAAGATTTTAAGATAGGATCATGCTTGAAAATATATTCAATTAATGTTAATTTATAAAAATAATTTAATAAATCTTCTTAATTTTTTTAAATAAAACTTATAAATTCCTTATCAAAATTTAAAAATTGAAGAAAGTAGGGTTTTTACAAGATTATCATAGATTAAGTATTTCTAATTTGATTTACTATTTAAAGAATTTTCATATTTTTTATAAGCTTTTACATTAAATTTATAAACCCTTCTAAATGAAAATTAATGCGATATTTTTTAATTATTCTTTACCTACTTTTTATATTAAATAATATTACTTCCAGGTCAAAACTTAATAACTTAATATGTCTCTTTTAATTTAGCCATTAATTTTAGCAAAAATAATATTTTTAGAAACAATTATCAAGTTCAATATCATTTTCGTAAACAACAATAACCTCAAATTTATTTTTGTAAATTATAAAAACTACATTCATTTAAATTATTGATGTATTTAAAAATTATCTTATTTTTACAATATGGATCTTTATTAAAATGTAAGTGAATAAAGAACAATTTAATTTTCAAGGATTTTTTCTCAAAGATTCCAAAGTAAAATTTATACTTACAATTTTGAACTAAAAATTTTACATTAAATTGAACATATAAATAAATTTTCTCTTAATGAAACTATAAATAATTTTCTGATTGAACATAAAAAAACATATTAATTGAGTTCATTTGTTTTACTCATATATAAATCTTTTTCCAACAATTAAACTTTTTAAAATATAAAAAACTTTTTGAGTATTAAAAACTGTTTGTATCATGAAGAAGCATAACTTAAAGATTAATTTTTATGAATAAAGTCTTTGATTAAATAAATATTAAATATATTAAAAATGATAATTATTTGCCCCTATTTCTTAATCAGTTTATTTAATATCTATGATTGGCAAAGTAATTTTAAATAAAATTATATCTGCATTCAATAAAATAATATCTGCATCCAATAAAATAATTATAATTAATTACAGTAGAAGTAAGTAAAAATGGTAACAAATACAAATTCTATATATTTTTCAATTAAATAATCAATCAAGATCCAAAAATACAAAGATAAATTAATATATAGTATTAAATATCCAACTTATAAAATGACTTTATTCTATCATTAATAATCAATAAAATGAATATTATATAATGATTTTTTAAATATTTCAATTAATTGTATTTATAAGTATTATAAATTCCTTATTTTTTTGATATACTCTATGTAATGTTTAATATTGATTAATTAAACTTGAGGTTAAGAAACAAATTTTTATAAATCATATTTAATGATTAGCTCATTCAGATTATATTGATAGGATAATATTAAAATTCCCTCTAAACTATTTTTAGAATTGCAAAATTATAGAGTATATAACATTTATTCTGAATGATTGGTGTTCATAATATAAAAATTTGATTTTATTATTAAAATTAGCATTTATAAATTGGTATACATTTCATAAATCAGAATACCTTAATATTAATATTTTTTATGGTAGTAAGGTATTCATTTTGAATGATAAAATATTTAGAAAGTAAGAATAGTTAAATTTTCCATAGTAAAAATAAACTTTCACCTTTTTATTTTTTATGCTACTATTTGTTTATGAAACTACAGATTAAAAATATTATTCTAAAATACATAAAAAATGTTTTCAGAAATAATTTCCTTTCAAATATTTGTAAATAACATNATTAAACTTTTTAAAATATAAAAAACTTTTTGAGTATTAAAAACTGTTTGTATCATGAAGAAGCATAACTTAAAGATTAATTTTTATGAATAAAGTCTTTGATTAAATAAATATTAAATATATTAAAAATGATAATTATTTGCCCCTATTTCTTAATCAGTTTATTTAATATCTATGATTGGCAAAGTAATTTTAAATAAAATTATATCTGCATTCAATAAAATAATATCTGCATCCAATAAAATAATTATAATTAATTACAGTAGAAGTAAGTAAAAATGGTAACAAATACAAATTCTATATATTTTTCAATTAAATAATCAATCAAGATCCAAAAATACAAAGATAAATTAATATATAGTATTAAATATCCAACTTATAAAATGACTTTATTCTATCATTAATAATCAATAAAATGAATATTATATAATGATTTTTTAAATATTTCAATTAATTGTATTTATAAGTACTCTATGTAATGTTTAATATTGATTAATTAAACTTGAGGTTAAGAAACAAATTTTTATAAATCATATTTAATGATTAGCTCATTCAGATTATATTGATAGGATAATATTAAAATTCCCTCTAAACTATTTTTAGAATTGCAAAATTATAGAGTATATAACATTTATTCTGAATGATTGGTGTTCATAATATAAAAATTTGATTTTATTATTAAAATTAGCATTTATAAATTGGTATACATTTCATAAATCAGAATACCTTAATATTAATATTTTTTATGGTAGTAAGGTATTCATTTTGAATGATAAAATATTTAGAAAGTAAGAATAGTTAAATTTTCCATAGTAAAAATAAACTTTCACCTTTTTATTTTTTATGCTACTATTTGTTTATGAAACTACAGATTAAAAATATTATTCTAAAATACATAAAAAATGTTTTCAGAAATAATTTCCTTTCAAATATTTGTAAATAACATTCAATAATAAAAATAAACTTGATTATTTTGATTATTAGTTATTTATTTTTGAAATTTATTTGGAATTATCATGAAATCAATCATTTTAATGTAATATTGGAATTAATTTTACCATAATTTGATAAATATTAAATCACACTTATTTTTTTAATTTAAGATTATAAACTGCATATTTAATGTTTTCTTTTTAATGCTGCCTAATAATGTTAAACATAATCATTGCATTCGAGATTTATGAAATGGATTAATATTACTAAATCTCTAAATAAATGATTGAAATTGATGATATAAATTTTGACCCAGAATATTACTATTTTTATGGAGTATGGTCTAAATATAATCCCTTAAGCCCAATATCTTAAGTTGGTAATATTGGGATATTTAATAGTAATTGCTTTAATATTCACAACGTTATAAACTAAGCTAGTTTAAGTGTATCTCTTTTATATTATGATTGTCTTGATTATAATTTTAGGTAAATTACAAAAACGATAATAATTTCTGATAATGAAAAAAATCATCAAAAGTTTGAATTATTTATTGATCCCTTATAATATGAGAACGTTTGGTATTTCTTTTAAATCTTAGGATGGCCTTAAAAAAGAAAAATAGAATTGATTATTTTGTAATTTGATAAAGAACTGCTTCATTAGATTATTTAAATAAAGTTTCCATAAAAATAAATTATTTCATAATTTAGTTTTGGAGGTGATTTTATTGTAAAAGATTCAATTATTATTTCATTAACAGAGTAAAAATTATTATCTTACTTTCCAGGCAAACTTGTTTTATAAAAATTCACGATAATAAATTAAATTAATTATAATAATTTAACTTAATTAGCAATATAAAATTTTGATCCATATAAAAATTGCTAATGTAAAGAAAATTTAAACTAATAAATATCTGATACAGATATAAAATGGTTGGATTAGAAAACATATACATCAGAAAATATGATTTGCAACTCATTTACATTGTAAGGATGGTTAAAGATTTTCGGAATTGTTTAATCTTCTGAAGAGTTCAATTATTATTTTATGAAATTATCCGCAAATTTTGATAATTCTTTATCCAATTAGAATGTTTCACCTTTTTAATTTGGCTATAAAATTACACCTAATTCAAATTATTTAATTTTTACTACATATAAATACACATTTCCATAAGTTACGATTGATTTTACAGAGAATCCATTTTTAATTTAAGAAACGATAGAAATACAAAATAATATATCACTTTGGCATAATTTGTACATAAAACAATTTGAAAATCAAATACAAATTAATATTAAGTTTTTCTAAGAATCAAATATATTTGATTATTAAAAAGTAATAGAAGTGAGATAATTTCATTGTTCTTAATTAAAATTGCAATATGGAAATTATTTATAATAGCTTAAAAACTATCTTAATATTTAGATAAGAAATTTTGTGTTTCTAAATTGCAATGAATAATTTAAATAAATAACTTGTCATTCAAGCTGTTAGGAATGTGATGGTCCAACAAATACAGATTGTTTATCATGCTCTAAAGAATCAAAAAGAATTTATTATCCTTAATTTAAAACCTGTTTATGTCCATTTAATACTACAGATGAATTGAATTGTTAATCATATGAAGATTCAAACCTAAATTTAATAAAAGATTTTATACAAATTAATTGTTAATATGGATATTTTGAATTAGAAGGTGAATGCTTAAAATGGTAAATAATATCATTAACTTTTATTTAGTCCTTCTGTTTAACATAGTAATGTTATTAGTTGTTTAGAATGTTTATAAAATCCAAAAAATTGGAGTAAAAAACCATATTGTTATTCAGATATTTTTTTAAGTTCAGATGGTTCAACTTAAGAAGAAATTAGTTAATATCCTTTATACTTTCTTTTTACTGGATTAGAAGTTTAGATTTGTTAAAATTGTCGAGAAACAAATTTATTGAGTATTTAAGAATAGTATTTAGATTTTTAGATAAATTCTTTAATATTTAAATAATTTTGTAAATCATATGATTACCTTAAGTGTTATGAATGTTCAATTGCATTCTGCATTTTGTGTGAAATTACTTTAGAAGGACGAAAATGTGTTATCTGTTTAAGTAATTATAAATTAGTTGGTGGATAATGTACATATAATTTAATTTTTCCTGAGACTTAATTTTGTCTTTCTCCATATTATCAGACATCGAATAAGATTTGTAAATTATGTCCTTTAAGTAATTGTAAATATTGTTTTGAATATTCAATGAGTGATTTAAGCAAGTCTACTTTATATCATAACTTTTAGAAATTTGATTAGAATGAATACATACGGATAGGTTGCTCTTTATGTTAAGAAGGTTACATATTTAATTTCAATATTGGAATATGCGAATTTGCAAAACCAAAAATATAAAATTGTTTAAGATCATTTATTAATTTTAACAATTAAGAAATTTGCACACTTTCTTCTCTTGATTTTAATATTGCTCCAGAGATAATCAATTGTTAGAAATACAAACCAAACTGTATATAATGTGTTTTATCTCCTGAATCTATTATTAAATGTATTGTATGTGAGATAGGATATGCAAGTTCAATTATAAATGGAGATTGTTATTAATACTCATCTGAAGCAGCATAGATTATTATTGATGGAGATTGGACAAAAGGAGATGGATGGGTTTAAAGAATTCAAAGTTTTATGATGTAATTTCTTCCTAATAAATATTTTTATCCTCAATCTTAATTTAATTCTTATATATCAGCCATGATTATTGAATGTAATTAAGGTTATTAACTATCCGTTACTAGCTAAACTTGTCAAAAGTATTGTTCATCTAAATGTCTAAGATGTGAGGAAATTTAATACAATTTTAGATGTACGAAATGTCCATTAAATTATTATTAATAACCTATTAGAGATTAATAAAATGGTCAATGTTCTGAATGTGCTTAATTATGTTAAATTTGTAAGGCTCGTTCCATAGATGAAATTTATGTAATTTATAATTTATTCTTAGAAAATATAACCTTCATTTATTATGACTGAAGATAATTAAATTTACACTAAAAATTGTATTCAATCTTTATCTCATTCTAATATTGTACTAGATTCTTATTATAATATTGCTAGATATTGTTTTAAAGGAGATTGTTCTTACAAAGCCTAGTTTGAAGTTTTATTTAGTATTTGCGAAATTACTAGATCATTCTGGCCTTTTGGCTATGAATTTTAAATTAATACTAATTATTGTAATTAAATGGGAATCGATACATTTATAATTAATTTTAACTTTTCAATTAATGAGGAATATTGTGGACTCTTACATGTTTTAAATGTTGACACTGAATTAAAAAAAAAAATATTTTCTTTGAGAAAAACTATATTTAAATTAAGCTCACCTAAAAAATTAGCTATTCAAACAAATTTTCCTATTTACATTAAAAATTTTGATTCTATTGAAATTATTAATGTTGCTTTAATTTTTCCAAATAGTCAGTTTTTCTCAATTAATAATAATGGATCTTAAGTTGAACTTAAACTAATTAATTTTACCTTTTTAAATAGTAATATTTCAAATATTGATTCTTTATTTGAAACTTAATAATTTAGTACCTTAAATCTTTTTAATGTTTCTATATTGAATACTAAATTTGTAAATTCGTCATTATTTAGCTTAAAATAGTAGGCTTTTAAATTAACTATTAAATTGATTACATTTAATATTTTCAATTGCACATTTATTGATACTAATTTAATTCAATTAACAAACAATTTTATTATGCTGATAGAAAATTTACATATAAAAAATTGCCAATTGATTAGCTCTTCAATTTTTAGATTTCATGCTAATACTCTTGATATCAATAATTTATTATTGAGAAATTCATAACTAGAATAAAATACTTTTATTTAATCATATTTTTTAAATAGTACAAATAATGTAGGTATGGATATCATTAATTTTATTTTCAAAGAAAATTATCTCTCAAAAAGCGTTTCAATAGCCTTTAATTCAAATTTAACATTAGAAATTCTTTATGTCATTTCCAACAATTTTGAAAATTCATCTTTCTTATCTACACTATTAATTTTGACAAAAGAAAGAATTGTTTTGAAATTTGCAATTATAGAATTAAACTTTAATAAAATGAGAGATGCAGAATTACTCAATATATTTTCAAACTAATAAATCAATAATTTAATCTTATCCATTACTAATCTTCAATTATATGGAAATTAAACTACAACTGATAATAATCGCTACTTGTTCAATATTTAATGTTTATTATTTACTTTATCAGATGTTATTATATCTAATGTGAATGATCCCCTTATTTTTTATATCTTTGATAACTATGAGATAAATATTTAAAAGTTATCAATTATAAATTCATAAGTTAATTAAAAAATCCCATTATCAAACATATGCGAATAATAATTTAAAAAACACAATAATCTTTTTTTGATTGAAGGATTCTTCTTAATTACTTTACAATAAATATTAATCCAACATTAATCTAGTATAGATAAATCGATAATCGGAATAAGATCAAATAAAAATTATTTAAGAGATTTAGAAGGAACAATAAGAATTGAGAAATTAGAATTTAAAGGTAATATTCTCTTATAATAACTTTTATCATAATTTTTTTCCCTTTTAGCCATTGAATCATAAGGAACTACAAATATAATAATTAACACTATAAGATATACTTCAAATTGTCTTCATTCATACACTAATAATCCATTTTAATCATTTGCTGGCTTATTGTATATAAATTGTAAAAATGGTTTTGTCAAAATAAATGATATGAATTGTAAATAAAATGCAGCTACAAATACATCTAATTCTTTTTTATTCATTTTTTCAAATACAATTCTATTTTAAAATTTGAATGTTTCAAACAATAATATTTTGCCTTAATCATTCTGGCATGAATACTATAATTTAGAATTCGAAGAATTATATTCTTAAGAATAAATAAATTAAATTGTTTAATCTATATTACATATTGAAAATATAGGAGGAGCTGGGGTAATAAGATCTTAGAATTTTACTTGTAATGTTTGCATCTTTGAAAATATTCTAGTTTTCAAAAGTTCTATTTTTGAAATAACTACTTAAGGAGAAGGTTATATTGAATTAAAATCTATTATAATTAATACGACTTTAAATAATATGAAATCAACTACTAATAGTTCAGGTTGTTTAAGTATAAATTCTTAGAATAGTAAATTTAATCTTATAATCTCAGATGCTCTATTTTTGAATGTTCAAAATAGAATGGCTTCTACAATTCTTACAATTATTCCATCAAATTTACAGAATTAAATTCACATTTAAAACATATAAATTGAAAATTGTATTTCATTGTGTAATTAAATTTTTAAATTATCATTTTTAAGTTAAACAATTTTCAAAAACTCTATTACTATTTAAAATATGAAAATTATTTAAAAAGAGATGGCTTGGATGGAGTATTTTTCAAAAATAGGATAATTAAATTCAAGTGAAATTGCAGAAATCACAGGAAATAATAATGCTATTCTAAATTTTGATGGTAGTTAAGTTTTTATAAAAAATTTTATTGTTGAAGGTTTATATTTTTCTCCTATTTTTAAAGTATTAGATGCTTAAAAATTTGTTTTATTTAATTGTTAAATATAAGATATATAAGTTATGTATCCTTTTGATCTTATTCATTATAATTAAAGTTATTAATTTAAATCCTTAGTATCATTTTAAAATTTGAAGATTCTCAATGTTTCTTATTATCAGTTCAATTAAACTTTAATTTAAAGAAGAACATAATATAATTACTAAATTAAGGAAGGCAATACAATAAAATAACAAATATAATAAGATTGGAAATCTTTTAATTTTGCTAGTATATTATATTTATTTAAAGAATAAATCTAATAAGGAAAATCATTAATTTATTTAAGTAGCATTACAAACTAAACTCAAATTTATCTAAATTTTGTTTAAGTTAACTTCAATAATTGTACATATTGTTCAAACGGTTTAATATTCTTTTAATAAGATAATTTTGATACATTTTAAATCTATAATTTTGACTGCAATTTTAACAATATATAATCTTATGGTTGTTTACAATTTATTTTAAAAAATAAACCCTAAAATTATGTTAAAATTATCAATTCACATTTTTTATAAAATAATGGTACTAAAGGTATAGCAATATTAGGAATAAATGCTTCATTTTATTTTAAATAATGTTAAATAATGTTCAATTAAGCTAGTTAATCAGGTGGAGGACTATATTTTTAGTTAAATGGTCATAATTTATTTATCAATCAATTAGCTGTATTATATAATAAAGCAAAAGAAGGAGGAGGAATATATTTAGATGGTGATAATAATTTAAATGCTCAAAATTTATTTAATTTTTATTTATAATTTAATAAAGCGGAATCATTTGGTAATAATATAGTTGAAAGTCCAACACATTTATCATTAAATATCAATAATATGGAAATGATGTCATAAAAGTTTATTTCTAATAAAACTGAAATAAGAATTTTGAAGATGGATCCTTATTTTATTTTAGATTAAGAAATTAAAATATTAACTCCTTATTTAATGATTCCAAGTAATTAATAATTGTAGTAGTATAAAATTTATCTTCCAAAAAAATAAGAATCATTACCTTATATAAATTAAATATTTTTAACACTAAAAAACAGTAGAGATGAACTCTTATTAAGTTTTAATAATCCAAAATGTAGTATAAGTTAAACTATTGTATCAAATACTTCGAATAAAATATTTAATACTCCGTCAAATTTGACATTAGAATATGATTTATAAAATAATAATTTTGATTTGAAAGGATTGTTTTTTCGATTTGATCCATATAGTCATAATGGTAATTATTTATAAATAAAATTTAACTGTTCATCTGAAACATAATAGAAATAATTATAATATTTGATTAAGGCTAGAAGTTTTAAATGTCAACTAGGGGAAATACATTTTGAAAATGGATGTTAGATTTGTTAATCATAATAGGGATTCTATTCTGTTTAATATGATTAATAAAAATGTTCAACTTTTGATAAATAAAAATTTGCAGATATAACATCTAATAATATTAAATTATTAGAAGGTTATTGGAGACCTCATTATTTATCTGATGATCCTGGTTTCTGTTTTAAAAATCCTAAATTTTGTATAGGAGGATGGGGAGTTGGAAATTAATTATGCAATAGAGGTCATATAGGTGCTCTTTGTGAAGAATGTGATATCTATAATGTAAAAGGAGAAGGATATTATTTTAAGAATTTATAGAATTCTGAATGTTAAGCTTGCTTTGAAGATTATGATAGTATAATTCCTTTTATAATCACTTCTCTTTGGTATATCAATAATTAAATATCAATATAGGTCATGCATCTCAGTTTTATTGACACTTAAAAGTATAGCTAAATCTAATTCATTATTCGCATCTTTAAAATTAAGAGAAAAACAAAGTAAAATCATATTTAAATTAAGTCAAGGTAATTATTTATATGATTTAGATCATTAAAGCATACTTATAAAAATGTTTCTCAATTATTTATGGATTTATACAGTGATTTTTACTTTTAATATTAACTTTTCTTTTTCCTTTAATTTTATAGAAAATGGGAGCAATACTTCATATTTTATGGCAAATAATTTTGATTGCTACCTTTCTGAATATTTTAGATTGGAATTAATATATTCTAAGGTTTTTGCTATGTGGATTCTTATAATTTATTAATTTATCATTATTGTTTTAGGTTCTTATATTTATTTTAAAGTGATTAATTCAAAATTTAGATGTAACATTATTTCACACACTTCCATTTGTTTATTTATATTTAATTATGCAGGAATTATAAAAATGTAATATCATTAAATATTTTAGGTTAAGTTCTATTCTTTCAATTAGGATAATATCAAATCTTAAATATATTTAAGGTGATGTATCCTTAAGATATGATACTGAGGCTCATTATAAATGGATTTATTATTTTGTTATTCCTAATCTATTATTTTTTGGCTATTTAATTCCTTTAACTTTATTTGTTTTTTTGTATGCTTAAAGAAACAAGTTAGATTCTATTAGATTAAGAGGACATATTTGTTATTTATTTAATGAATATAATTAAAACAGCTATTTTTGGGAATTAATTAAGCTATCAAAAAAAGCTATAATGATTTTTATTATAACTTATTTTGAAACAAATATATCCTTAAAAGCTACTTTATTGGGGTTGTGTTTAGTGTTTTATTAATTAATCGCTGTTAAAAATAAACCATATATCATTTCTAAGTTTAATTCTTTAGATATATATTCTGAATAATTATGCTCTATCTCAATATTTTTAGCAGCTGCAAAGTATATTTGTGAATAATAAAATGATCATTTTTTATCTATTGCACTTTAAGTTTGCCTTATTATTTGTTGCCTTCGACTTTGTTAACCATATTTGGTTGATATTTATAAATCATATCATAAAAAATATAGAGTTCCATTCTTAAAATTATTAAACAAATTCCTAAAATTAATAAAGTTTAACCATATCATATAATGTTTAGATAATATTTTAATTTAAGAATAGCTTAAAGAATTATAATTAAAACGTAATCTTAATAAATTAAGATCCTTAGCTAAAAGTTAAGTTACAAATAAAAGGTATGATTACTTATAATTTTAGATTAATAACATCTTAATTTAATTCTTAATGGACTTACAGATTTAGATAAAATAGTCCTGATTTGGAACATAAATCATTAGTTCCACTTGTAACTGATTGATTCATCTAATTAATATTAAAAAAAATAAATTTTAAATAAATGATGTATATGTATATAATTATAATTTTTTATTACATTGAAATTTTGGAAGATTATGTATTTTTATGTTCCTTTAAGTTTTAATTATATTACGTAAATAATTATTTTTGCAAATTGATATATAAAAATTTTATAATTAATTTCTTAAAATAAAGTCATAGGTTAGATTTATAAATTGCTTGAAAATATATTTAGAATATTTTGTTTTCCTTATAATTTAAACTCTTTTTAGTTTTCTATTGATACTTCATATTATTTAAAAAAGAAAGGTTATCTGTGTAATAAATAAAATTATTGAATATTTGATAAAATTATAAATTTAAGTTTATAATTTCTCATTTTTTCTTACAGACAGCAACTGTAATATCACACCAACTAGCTACAATTAGATTATTTCCACTAATTAAAGCCCCAGAAACACCTTTAGGTAATTAAGTATTTTAAGCTAGATAATTGAGTTTATTAGATGTGAGATTATATTCTCCAACAGTTGCCCAATATTCAAATTAAGTGTCTCTTTTTAAGATATCAATTCCTTTTAAGAATCCATCTAAAGAAAAATAATTATGTAATTTAGGAATTAATCCTAAAACAAGTGAATTTCTATCTGCATCATATTCTAAATTATCTATAGAATTTTCAATGTCAATAAATCTTTTGAATATAAGACCTTAATTTGTTATTTCATATTCATTTAATTATTTTGCAATAGTATCTGCTGCCCAAACGCGATTTTTTCTATCCCATGTTATTCCATTCAAAACTACTCCAGTAAGTGGAGCATCTAATAATTCTTTACATTCAGGATTTATTATTTTATTTTACTTAGTAAATTTACAATCAATAATGAATGAAGTTTTTTATTTACTAATCCATACAAATATAGTTTTTATCAAATGAAATGGAGTAATTTTATGTCTTCCTTCTATTGGATCTGTATATGGCATATATTTATTAATGAAAAAACGATTATCTTCAATTACTATTAAATCATTTAATATTCCATTATATTTCTCATCCATGATTATAGAATGTTAATATTCAAGATTAAGATGCTCATCTAAAATTTTGAATATCTCAACTCTTTCCCCTCCATTTTAATAGGCATGATTCAAAGCATAAATATATTCTCCATCTTATTATTTTCTAATATCAATTCCATGAACATATAAAGAAATATCTTTTGGGAAATTCTGAATTCCTAATTTTATAACTTTTGGTCTCTCTTCTTAAGAATTAACTATTGCATATAATCCCAATTGTTCTAAAATAGGTTTTCCATGTGACCATAATTTATGAAAATCTCCTGATCCAACAATTATAGTTGTTGAATTATATTTTTACATATCTTCAGGTCCTATTATATCAGTATCCAAATATTCACAATCAGAGTATGTGTTTATTAATGGAACACTCTTGAAAGCATCAAAGAATCCTATAAGAACATTTACTAAATAAGCTATCAATCCAACTATAAGAATTTTATGGATTTTCATAGAATAATTTTTTAATATCCATAAAATAATTGATCAGATATAAATTTATAACGATGACATCAGAGTAAACAGATTGATGACAATCATATACTCTCTTTCAACTAAAATAAAATATTATAATATTATCACTTTATTATTTTTAACTTTAATATAAGAAATTCAATACTAACTAATTTAATTTCTTTAGAAACCAATAAATTATTAATTTTATTTTTATTCTTGCAAAAGAACGAAGTCTTAAAAATTTTGAAATAATTAATACATTTTTTAAGTTATTCAAAAATAAATTATTTATTGTGATAAATACATTTTTTTAATGATTTAAGTATTTTGATTAAAATCTTTAAAAAGAATAAGAAAAATATTCTTTCTTAAACTTGATTAAATTAATTAGTCTTTTTACTTAAACTTATTTTGATAATTTAAATATTTATAATTAATAAATATATCATCCAGATCCAGTTGTTGAGGTTGTATTTGTACTACTATTGCTGCTATCAGATGCTAAAGATCCTTTAACTTAATCTGGAGTATTAAATTTGCCATCATCTAATCCCAATGCTGATAAAATAATTAAAACTATAATAGCTATAAATATGAGACCAATTAAACACATTAATAGTTTATCAGTATAAACTTATCTAAATATTAATTTTAAATATAAACCTTGCAAAATACTTAATATATTTAGCTGATCTTTTTAAAACAGATTGTGTATCCATAACAGTATCATACATTCTATCTAATTAGGCTATTTGTTTATCCAATTCCATATTAATTTAATCTGCTAATTCATTACCTTATTAAACAGTTCTTGTAATATCATTTAATTTATCAATCGCTAATGAATTATTGATTCTATAAAATACCATTCTTCTATAATTAATCTCCCATATCAATAACTTATTATCTATTCATATCTTCTAATCTTTAAGGTTATTATTCTGATCTTCCTTTAAATAAATTCTCTTAAGTTTATCCTTCATTTTTTTTAAACTCCAATTCAGATTTCAATCTTTAAAATCTCTAATTTATTGATCTTAATGAGTCATTATATCTAAAATATGTCACTCAAATACTTAGAACTTTGAGCTTTATCAAGATTACTAATTTCTAATTCATAACTTTCAATCAAAGTTGAAATGCTTCTAACTTAAGCTTAACACTTCTTTATTGCAGCATTTTTTTAATTGTATTCTTTTTTACTTAGAGAATCTATTTCTTTTTATAATTTATCTAATTCTGCATTCAGAGTGGAATCAAATTCATCTAATTCTGTCATTTTATTTTTAAAATATATTTATTAAAAAAATTAGATTAAATTACTTAAGAAATCCTCTCCTCTTAATTTATTGTGAGAACAAATTTAGAGTTTATAATTGAAAGAATATATCCCATAGCTTTTGATTACCCTCTTATGCAAATGGAATATTCTTAGAATTATTCATTGAGACTAAAAAACTGAATAAATTGTATAAGATAAGTATGGATATCGAAGTCTTAGTAATTTTAGGAATTACAAAAATTATCTCTAAGTAAATAAATAATTGATACTCTTATTTATATGGGTACTTAAATAAAATCATATTATAGGTTTTGATAAAGGGTTACAATGTATGAATTTATAATTTATTAATCATCTTATTTTGGTAAGATCAGATAAAATATACGAGATTCTATTATTTATAAATAAATATAACTGAATAAAAATGATCATACTTTTGGATGATTATTAGTAGCAGTATATATATTACTAATAAATTATTATCAAGAGTAACATTGAATAGGTAAGGATCTAATGTTATTATGAAAATCTGTTACACTCTTTAAAGATGTGAAGGAGTCTTATGGTAGAATTTAAATCATTAATAGTTGCTTTCTAGTTTAAAATTTTAACAATCTTCAGAATTAAAATATATTAGAAAAATATATCATGAACATAGATCATTAGACTAAGAAATTTAAGAGAATACGGAAATTTGATATGATTTAGAATCTCTTCTTAATTATTCATATATTGATAAATAACAAATCATACTTAAGAGATTTTGAATAAATTATATATTTTAATTATTTTTACTTATGTAATAGCAAAGGAAATTTAGTACAGATTCAAAATATCTGGATTTAGACATCGTTTAAGAATATATAAAATAAGATTTAGATTAAAATGAATATTTTCGATATGAACATGATATTGATTTTGATATACCAGAACAAGATGAATTTTTTGATTGTCTAGATTCCATTGATGAGCCTCCGTAAATTGAACGTTACAATTAAATTAAATTACATACAATGAGAATTGATAGAAAATAAAGAGTGGATGATGAATTAACTTAACCTCCAGAGAAAGAAGATTAATTATAATTATCTATAGAATCAATGGAAGAAGAATTTTAGTATTAAGATGAAATTTATGATATTAAACAAATTGAAATAGATAAAAGAAAAGTTATTTCTATTTTTACACTTAAATAAGATTTTTTTGATAATCATCATAATCACACTCAATTTTTAAAGAATGTTGAATTACTTAGATAAAAAAATTATCATTTAGAAGAATTCTATACCTATATTAAAGAATTAGGATTAGGTTGTGGATTCAGTTTGGATTAAATAAGATATGAATTACTTCAAATATTCATATCTGGTTTAGTTGATATAGTTAAATATATTGATGATGTAAAAACATATATCTTATAATTAGATGTTTAGATTTTAAAGTAAATGGTTAGAAAGGGAACCAATTATCACTTTATAAAATATATTTTAAGCATTCACTTTTTAATGGGAAAGATTCTAAGATTATACAAATGCATTAATTGAAAGATCAGCTATTAGTAAAATTAAAACTAACAATAAAATTATTGATTATGAATCTTTGTAATTTAAAAAAGGTATTGATTTTTGTTTAACTTAAATTGATGAATAATAAAATGATGGAATTGATTTCAATATATAATAAAGTACCTAAGAAAGTTTGATTCTTTTTAAAGTTTTTGAATTGTAAAAATTGAATGAACACTTTTTACATATTAGTCGATAGAATTAAAAAGTAAAGAGAATTTAAAATTACTTTGCAAAATGCAGATCTCGTATTAAACTTTATTTTCTTTTGAAAAACAAAGTTAAATTCTAATTCAAAACTAAACGAAAATCTCAAATGTCCATACATCATAATATTACTGAAAAATATCTTTTTATTGATCCTAATTCTATATCACTTGAAAATACAGCCAATATTATTGGAGAAGTTACCTAACCAAACTAAATGAAAATTAGAAAATAAGGATTTGCTTCAAAAAATTTAAACTCAAACTTCAATACTATAAAAGATTATGATTACTATTAATGATATTTATATATATATAAATATATTTATAATGATTGCTCCAAAATACATTGAGCAAAATATAATCAACTCAATTTGTTAATATGAAAGATTTAAATCTCATAGAGATAGAGTTTAAATGATAGCAAGTGATAGAAGTTCATCAAAAAAGGTATAATTACACAATATTAGTAATTTCATATGGATTCAAATAAATTACAAAAAATTAAGACTAATCAATATAACAGTAAAGCATCTATTCAATAAATGAGAGATAAAATTTTGTATATAGAAAATAGCAAAATACTAGATAGAATTATTAAAATTAAACCATCTACAAGATAACATTCAGCTAGTTCAATAAGATCCTTGAATTTACCAAAAAGAAAAAAAGAAGCTATGAAAATAGTTGATGAAAATTAGAAGTTAATGAAGAGATTGTAATCCACTTAAGGAACATTCAAAAACAAAGATACTTAAATGCGTGATTTTAGGAGGTACCCAAGAAAATGATTAAGAGAACTCAGGAACTTAAGTTTCGTATTTCCAGAACAGACAATAAATAGAGAATTTCTAAGTTTGCATAAAGTCTCTCACAAAGAAAGACCAAAACCAACGGCCTTACTTAATTATCTTAATTATAGAGATTGCGTATAGAACCGTAAAGAAAGACGATGCCAAAATTAAAATAAAATCATTTATTCGGTTTTTCATAGTGACTAATATAATAATATTTAAATACCCAAATTCAGAAGGCAATCTATATGTTCCAGGACCAGGAGATTCAGCTCTAATTTTAGTTAATTCTCTCTTGGTTCTAGTAAATATTGTAGATTTAGTATCGACAAATTTAGAACAATAATATAAACCTTTTGGATCAATATCTCCTAAATGAGCATAATCTCCAGGTCCTGGTGATGGATCTTTAGATGGTGAAAAACGAAAACTTTTTGATTTTTTGGGAGAAAGTATTATTGCTCCAGAACTATAATAGTAAATTTTATTACTCTCTAAATTTGCTAATTTTATATTTCCCTGTTTCATTTAATGCTGATGGCAAATCATATTAGCCACTAAAAATATAAAATGATTTTTACGGTCCTGGTTTTCTATCTTTATCTTTTTAACTCTCAGTTCTCATTCTTATTGTATATTTAATAGGAGATCTTGTGTTTTAAAATTCATATTCTCCAGGTCCTGGAGTTTTTTGTATTAATCCAATGAAAATACCTTCATACTTATTGCTTTTCTAAGATGAAATTTATAATCTATACATCTCTTCCAACAGGCATAGTCCAACCATTACTTACATTAAGGGTAGTCTTAATTTCATAATTATTAGGTCCTGGTGTTATACTTTCTTATATAAATTTTGATTTCTATCCATATCCTATTCCAGCACTACGTTTACTCATCATTGAAGGAATATTATAAATATTGGGACATCTAATAATAAATTATCTTTAATTACGGTTTATCATTGAAATCTTTGAAACGATTAGCTTTAGGAAATGAATAAAGTGCTTTGGATATTGATTTATTTAAAGGTGATCTATTTATTTATTCAAATGAGGTATTCATTTATATTTAGTATTTTATAAAAAATATTTATTATATTTATATTCATATTCTTTGCTCCAAAATGCTTCCTAATCTTATAGTAGAATGTAATGTTTATGTATTATTTAAATTAATATTCATAAATCAATATATTTTTAAAAAAGTTAAGAGAATATAATAAATAACTAATCAAATAAGAATTTAACATAAATGAGATGATAAAATTAAATATAAATTTTAGTAAATATTAATATTTTTAATGAGTTCACAATCAAAATTCTTTGTTGTGAGAATTAAATGCTATGAGTTAATTTCTAATTAAAACAATGGTGAAATAAACTCTATGGTTGTAGTGAAAGAATATGCTGATGATAAATGTAAGAACAAAATCTATTTTTAGGGATTGAAAAGGGCAAAACAGAAATTTAATAAAATTAACGAAATCCATAATTTAGTACAGCCATCCAATTAAATTATCAATTTGAAATTTCTTATAGAGTATTGTTTTAAGTATTCAACAATTAATAAGAAAAGAAACATGTAGGTATTTAAAAATATTTTAGTTAATTGGATATACAGAAGTGAACATATAAACTCTATTAGCTGCAAAAGATTAAATATATTATACAGATATTTGTGATAGAGGTAAGAAAGTGGGAAGAATAGTAATAATCGGAGAATATTAGAAATACAAAAATGATATGGTTGAATTAATATTAAGTAATTCTAATTAATTAAAGTTAGCTGCTAATTCATTATCAAAATAATGTTGTATTTTTAATGTTTCTCCTTCTCAACCTTATATAAAAATTTCTAGAACTTTTCTAGATACTAATGAATCAAATTTAGTTTATTAATCTGACCCAATTAATTATCCTTCGAGAAGAACTTGGTAAAATATAATAATTAAAATTAGGCCTGAAATTAAAAAGAAAGCTAGAGATTTATGTAATAATGATAGTGATACTGTTTTAAAAATAGAAATTTATGATAAAGGGAGAAAATAAGACACTTACATAGGATCTGTAAATTTATCAGTATCTTAAATGGTAGAAAAGAAAGGTCTTAGAAATCTATAGCATTAGGGTAATCAATCTATAACAGGATAATTATACGTTGAATAATGTTTATTTAGAGAAATTCCAACTTTTGAATAATATTTATAAGAAGGTTTGCAATTGAATTTAATGATTTCTATTGATTTTACTGATTCTAATTTAGATCCAACGAATCCTTAAAGTCTACATTATTTTGATGTATCTAACAAAAGACTTAGTTAATATGAATTAGCCTTAAGGAATGTCTCTGAAATATTGATACAATATGACCATGATAAAAGAGTTCCTTTGTATGGTTTTGGATTTGATTTGAATGGTAAAGCTCATCATTGCCATCCTTTGAATCATAATTTGGAAGATCCAGAGTAAGATTTAAAAATTAATGTAGAGTTATTAATTTACTTGGATTATTTGAAACTTATAGAAATTTTGTTAGAACTGTCAAGTTTTCAGGACCTACATTATTTAGACCAACATTAAGAGAAGCAATGAAAGTAGCGAAAGGATTTAAAGATGCAGGAAGTGAAAAATATGTTGTATTGGCAATCTTAACAGATGGAATTATTAGTGATTTTGATGGTACTTTTGAGTCTATTGTTGATTGTTGTGATTTACCTATTTCTATCGTTATTATTGGAATTGGTGATGCAGATTTTACATTAATGGAAAGATTAAATAATGATGAATTATTGGAAATAGATACATAAGGAAGATAAGCAACCAGAGATTTAGTTAAATTTGTTGTTTTTAATAATTACAAAACTGAATAAAAAAAGTTTGCTTAAGAAGTGCTTTCTGAATTGCCTGATTAAGTTGTTAATTATATGTCTACTATTGGTAAAATGCCTGGAAATCATGGAAATCACGGGCAGAAGTAATAAATATTATTAGCATAAAACTAACAATATGATTAATACTATTAACCTAAAGGTATCTAAAGATAAAATACTTTAAATCGTTTATTAGGAGAAGCTGTTGAAGAATATTAACCAGATGAAAGAACCCTCATCACTGTAAAATAACCAATTTAATAACCATAACCATAACCATTCTTATTTTAATAATTAGACTAAGGTCAAGGACAATAAATCTATGATTAACATTATTACACTCAAATTTATAATAATGTTAAAAATCCATTATAAACTGAATAAGAACAACAGAATAATGTTAATTAAATAATAATTAACCCTAATTAAAACTAATTTTCCTAGAATAAGTATCCACCTGTCACATATTTAGATGGATTATTATCTAATTAAAGTAATAATTTTAATTATTTTAGACCATCATACATAAATATAACCTATTTAATCAGTATCTCATATAATTGAAAATTCAGAATAAAATTTAAATCAAGATCAACATTATCGTCTAATTTAAAATAATTATCAATTTTAGTAAGACTTTTAAAGAGATGAAGAGAGGGCATAATAAAATGAGAATTAAAACAAAGAGAATTGAGATTCATATTTTTTCTTTTATTTATATTAATACTATATTTTTCATTTTGAATTAATTAATTTGCAAATAATATAATTACATAGAAATATAATATAAAATAGTCATATTGAAAAAATTTAGTTTTCTTAGGAATTCATAAACTTGAGCTTAAGATGCAGATAATTAGAAATAGTTACAGTCAGTTATCTTTATGTTATAATGTAGTACAAAAAAACTAAAATTTTGTAACTTCAATTTAATTGGCATGTCACTTTGAAATTTAATAACTTTTAAAAATGAAAGTTTATCATTATATTAGTCCAACGTAATAAAAAGTAATTTTGGTTTTAAAATTATTAAGATAAAAATAATAACATTGTTTATTGGTGTTGCAGAAACAACAATAGCTGAATTAGATGAGAAATAAGGTTTTTGATTATGTGAAATGTCTATTTTTAAGATTTTATAGATTAAGAAAGGATGATAATAATCGTATATTAGTTTATGAAACTGAATTTGCAAAAGAAACAACTTAACCTTTATTGATAGAAATAAAATACAAAGCTTAAAAATTATGCAATCGAGTTGATTAAATTTCAATCAAAGTTAAATATGGAATTATAAAGTGAATTTTATCAGATTTTTTTATAATAAAATTAATCATAATAATCATTAAAATAATATTCTAAAAGTAAATCAATAACATTCTTTAAGAGATATAATGAAACTGTAGAAGTTTGGGAAATCATATTTATTTCTATATTTTATAAATGGAATTAAAAAAACAAAGTTCATAAATGAATATATCTCCTAAGCCTCCCCATAATAAATCTTTTTTCTAAATATGTAAATTTATATCAAATGACAGATAATTTAATGTATATTTTCATTATAATTAGTTATAAAATGATTAAGAGTACTAAAAATATCTAAATTAACGATAATAATAATAATCTCACTAGTATCTCATTTATAATATGGTATTAAAATATAACAACATCCCTCAAAAGAATTTCATAAATTTTTAAACAATAAATTTAAAATTTGCTTTACCAAATATGATATATTTACAAATAAATTAAATTAGAATAAAAATAATCACTCTTATGAAGATGGTTATCTACTTCTCTATTGTGATACTTATTTATTACGAATTATGGATAGACGAGCTGGTTGTTTCATCTGAGCCTAAGTATTAATAAATTCAGATTGATTGTCATAATTATTTTCAGTAAAATAATTTGTAAATTAAAATGCTTAATCCATACCTTAAAGACCTTCTTTGACCTTATACTGGTTTGTATAAGAATCAAAATTTGTTTTCAAAATATTTTAGAACTTTTTAAATTCGTCATCATCCAAGTGTTCCTAATTTTTTTCAATATCTTTCAATTTTAATTCTATATCCCAACCCATTCCTATTTATTAATTAATAATCACACCTTCCCTTTTAAAACATTCTATTCTTACAAATGTTTACCATTTCTTCTTCTCCTTTCTTTTGAATTTAATTCTATTTTATGTATCTTTATTGAACACAATCAATTTAATTGGATCCACCACAATATGAGTTACATCACAATCTGTACTATAATGAGTAGTTGATTCACATGTGTAGCATTACCCTATTGCTGAAAAATCCTTTTAAAATTCTATCTTATCTTTAATCATCCAATATTTCTCGTAATCTTCATTAAATTTAGCCAAAGTGATTAAAAAATTCTCTCTACTTATCTTGTATAATTAACTGTATTGTAATGCTTATGCTGATGCTTTTCTCTAAAATCCAGTAAGAAATGTGTATTCTCCAAAATATTCTCCCTTCCCTAATTTCTTTAATTATAGTTATTTATTAAAATTATTTGGGAATATGGAAACACTTCCTAAATTAATGAAATAAATTGATTGATCATCTAAAAATTGAGGATCTTATCCTAAGAATATCATTTCATACTCTGCATAATTCATTTCCTAAATTATGGATGATAATTCTCTTAGAAATCCTCTAGAAAAGTTTATACAAAATAATGGAATTTAAAGTAGTATTTTACCACAACTTGCTAATTACAATTCTGCCTTTAATTCTGGAGCCAATTCTCCTATAATCTCCTATTCTCCTTAAATATCCCTATTTCCCTCTTAATACCAATGTTCATTCAAATATTATCTAACACGTTCTCTTAGATTTTATGGCACATCTTTAATCATCATGTATCTATTAATTATCAAACGTTATTGATAGCGTTTGATATCATATATTGCATATTCTTCCAAAATCTTAAATATTATATTAACCATAACTGCAAAAATTAATACAGCAAATAATATTCCTCCCATACCAACCAATACTTCAAAAATATTTAGTGGTTACATATCTCCATATCCCATAGTAGTAGTTGTTGTACCAACACTGAAATAATAAGAGTAAAAAAATTTTTAAATTTATGTCAATTCACTTATTGCTCCGAAATTTCCTTCATGAGTTAACCATGAATTGTAACCTTTATTAGTTGCATATAAACAAGCCAAATACCAAATACATGCATATACAATAAAGACGAATTATAAAACTATCAAAACTTTTGCAATCTAAAATATAGTTCTTATTCTACGATGAAGCATTACGATTTCTCCAAATTGAAAAGATATTCTAATTAAAGAAGGGTATTTCAAATAAAAAAATATATATAACCATCTCTCATTATATGTCTAAATTATTGATCTGATTAATAATGCTACAGTTGCAATTAAATCAAACAAAAACCTTGTTTACAAGTATCTATGTCCAATTTTAACCCTATCAATTACAAGATTTCCATGTGAATAGTAAGCTGTATGAAACTCTAAACACATATCAAATGAAAATGTTAAAAAAGCTACTACTGCAATTAATACTTTCGCCCATTCAGGTGTAAACTAGCTTAATAAAAATATATTACTTCCCAAACTTCTTTACCAAAAGAAATATAGATTGGTATTTCATAGAAAAAAAATAAAATTACTAATCCCACCCATCCTTTCCAAAATAATAGACATGGAGTATTTGGATAAAAAATAGGAATAGTCTCATGAACTATTCAATTAATTTATGTGATTTACATATTTTATAAAATCTAGGTAAAACTATTTCTGTTTTTTTCTCCTACTTAGAATCAGCATTATGTTCAATTACATCGTCGTTATATACTTTTTGTAGCAATCTTAATTTTTCTTCCTATTACATATCACTACCCTTATAATACTCATAAATATCCTCTACGATCTTCTTATTCCCTTTTAGTATTTTAGTCAGAATATATACTTATTAATGAAATTGTCATAGTTTTTTATTTTCCTGTTTGTAATTTAGCTCCATTATTGACATATTCCAACTACTTATCATCAAATTATCTCATTTATAAGCTATCTACTGATGAATTTGCAGAATCCTATTCTTTATTCATATTTAAATTAATTTGAGATAGATATTTCATTATTGTGTGTTCAAAAATAATATTTTAATTCATTCAAAACTACATACTATATCTTTTAATGTTGTATATATGAAATATTACATAATCAACTTCTCATAATAAAATATAGTCTTTATTTTCAATCCAAAAGTTATCCTTAATTATATCTACATTAAATTCTTAAACTTGCAAATCTTCTTTCTATTAATTAGGAAGTTAATTTAACTCTTGTTAATTCAAATCCTTATACTTTAACTTTTTCTTTTATTTTTTATTCAACTTCTATTGTTCCTTATTATCTACATCTAATTCAACTTTTAAGTTTACTTTTTCTTTCATAGGTTATCTTATAATAGTAGTGCCTTTTTTGAATATTTCAGGTTCATTATTATAGTTTTTTCCTAATCTAGTAAATAATAATTCATTTTTATCTCCTGCATTTGTACCTGATAAAGTTTTTTCTGCCTCTTATTTGTTCATACCTTTTTAAACTAATCCCCAAAAACAAGTATTGTATAAATTATTTATATGACAATCTACTTACCTCCATGACATATAATCACGAATGTTTTATAGATCTGGATAACACACACATCTTGCATCAAATATTGGAATGCATGGAAATTATAAAGGTTTTTTCATGAATTTCTCAAAATTCAAAGCCTTTTCATAAATTATTATTTCTATACATAAACTGATGTAAAAGTAGAACATATACATGTTGCAATTTTATCTGATCTTCTGTTATATAATTCACTATCTTTTGATAATACAAAAGAGAATTCATCAGATTGTCCATATGCAATTTAAATATCACTAAAAGTTTCCATCACAACACAAGCACTAAAACTCATTAGTTTGAGTGCTTATTCATCATTTGGTTTTTCAAATTCATAAAATTTAGTAAATTTATGAAATCCTTTTCCATCTATTCTAACAACAATATATGTATTTGGTAGGAGATTCTGCATTTATTCAAATTGTTTAACATATTCATATTTAGAATTGGCCATTTTCTTTATATTAATTATATAAAAAAAAAGTTAAATTCTTTCTTAATCTCATTATTATAAAAAATATATTAGTCAAAATTTTTTCATATCACTAACAGAAGTTTCATAGCTTCATCAAGACTTTGACATTGTTAGATTTACTTTAAGATAAATGTTTTAGCATTAATCTCACGTGCATCATCAATTTACAACAAAACTTTTAGATAGTCTATAACTCCAATTAATTCCTAAATATAAACTTAATAAATTACATTATCTTTAGCATTATCAATATAAGGTATAATAGGAATACCATTATCAATTTAATAAGCATAAGAATAAGCTGCATTATCAATCAAAAAAACATCTTTTAGATTCCTGTTTAAAATTCTTAAATCTTTGACATATATGCCCTGTTATGTTTAGATACAATGTTCTCTATATAATCTACAAGTAACCCATTTTTTAGTTGGATCCAATTTATCTATTATTTTGTCAGCATATAATGGATGAGATGCAGTGAATATCATAACTTCAAAATGCTTTGAGCATTCCTGTAAGAATTACTGAGCAAAAGGCCTCACACTAATTCCTGCCTTTTTAATATAGTTTAGTATACTTCGTGAATCTATCCATTTGGCATCTATATTGGAACTTTAAAGTCAAATTTCATTTATGGTTGTTCATTACAATGGATTAATGTTTCATCCAGATCTAAAACTAATGTTTTTTATTTTTCTATTTTTAATTAATATAAAAGATTACTAATCTGTTAGAACTATATACATCGATGTTCAATTTCTTTAATATCAGGTTAAAGAAACTGTTTACTAAGTTAAAGACTGTGAAATTATTAAACAAAATGATTGATATATAATTGAGCATACAAGCCTTCTAGATTTAAACCTTTTAAATATTTTCTTAAGTTATCCATGTAATAGGTTCCTAAATTGATTTATTTGAATTGATTAAAAGAAGAATCTTATGATCCTTATGAGTCTTCCTATAACCATTCAAATGACTCTGTTCTTTTTACTCTTAATGCTTTTAGTTCTTAATTGAACTCATATACTTAATATTGAGGATCTATATCCTATTGCTAATGATAATTAGTTTTTCTAATTTTATTAATTTTTGATTTATCTGAAGTTTTCATTTATGATTCTCTCTAAGTGAATTAGCTATTATTGAGTGAAGCATCTTTTATTACTCTTCTTGCTACCTATTCTTTTTTAGATGTAGTCTGAGAACTAAAAAATGGAAGTTTTATATCTGAATATTATTAAATTGGAGACAGAGATTCTATTTCCATATTTTATTCTTGTTTTGGTTATATGATTAAATTAGGGCTCTTTACTAATTATCACCTAATTATATACCTCTTAATCATAATTGGCTCTTCCACTCTTGCTCAACATTCTTGGTGTCTATTTTTTAGGAAGAGATAACTTTTCTAACATCATGACATTCAATTACATTGAAAGTTATTTACTAATCCAAGAAAATCCTTCGGAGTACTTCTTCCTTTCCTTTAAAAAACACTATCAGATATTAATTAATTGTTGTTTGATGCATTCATATAAATTTTTGGAGGTGAAGGTTTTCTATTGCTATCAATCATATTGTCTTTCGAATTGTCATTTGTCAAAATTCTTGCATTTCGTTTAGATCTCATCACTTATAAAAATAAATTATTGAATAATACAAAAAATCATTGAAAAAAATTACAAAATATTTTTAACTTCATATTAAATTAAAATTTTAGAATCAAATTTTTCATCTTTTATAATAAAAAATTCCAATAATTTTTTGATTTTGAAAGGGAATCTAATTCTTGTAACATTTTTTTTAATCAATCAAACACCTTTTGCATTACCAAACTAGAATCTGTGCTTTATCTTTTTATTTCCTTATACATGGTTAAAAATTGTAAAAAAAAGTTTCTAGAATTCGCTTCTAGAAAAACAAGAATTATAAAATCTTTTTAGTAATTTAACTTATTCTACAAATTCTACTATACTTACTAGATTTTAAATATTAAAAATGCATCTATTACTTTGTGAATTGTATGTCAATTTTTATAGAGATAAACCTATAATATAGTAAAACAGAGAAAGAAACTGTTTTTATAAAAAGGAATTTATTGAAATTATTGCTTTGCTATTATTCTATTTGAAAAGTCCAATGTTTTCTTTTCTTTTTAATACCACTAATACCTAAATAAATTCCAGTTCCAAATTATTTTCCTTTTGATAGAAGTAAAAATTAAAGAAAAATATTTATTACTTCCCCTTTAACTCTTCAAAAAAATCTAACCTTTACATAACACTCTTATTCTAGTTCCTTTCAGATAAAAAAACCATAATTATTTGGCCATATATATTTATTTAATATAAAAATGAAAATTTTATTTAATGTCCTTAATAGACTTTACCATTTTGATTAAAATATTCCATATTTTTCAATTTTATCATCAATAAATTATCCTGTATACATTAACTTATCTGATAATTAAAATACTCTTTTCCCATATTTATATTCTCCTTTATAATGTGTACCTGATCTATTTTACCAATTTCTTATGCATATAAACTATAGATTTCCAAATTATATGAATTTTAAAATTACTTTTTAAAAAGGCTTTATTATTTATAAAATCTCCTATATAATTATTTCTATTACAATTAATCAATCTATCATAAAAGTCAAAGATATTGAAAGCCAATAATTCTTCATACAAGGTTCCGTTTAAATAATTTTGTTTTACATATCCATTCGAAAGCCTGAATAATTTATTTTTCTTACCAATTTTCCATTCTAATAATAAATGCCCTCCTCATTTAATCAATATATTGAAGGATAAATAAAATTATTATCTTCACTGTCATATTTAAAATTTATAGATAATGATATGATCTTTTAATAAAAATAAAATTTCATTTTCTTATTTTATTCTTAAGAACTAGTGTAACATTATACTATTAAAGTTCTAACTTTGAAAAATATTTATATTAATAATAATATATATTCATCAGGTATAATTAGGTTTTCTTTTTTTTTGAAATCCTTTTGGTTTAATGTTTTTTTAATTTTCTAAATCTGAAGGTATGATTAAAAATCGTTGAAAATTGAATAATTAAATTAATATAATAAATGAAAAAACAAATACCGAAAAGTGCTTCTCAAAGTGCCATTCAAAAACCTGAGAAATCTCAAACTCTCAAAACTCCTGAACGACATGGCATTCCTAGAAATGTTAATTACTATAGCCATTTTTTAGCTGAACCATATATCACTGAAAAAGATATAGAATTTGTGCTTTAGTTAAGAAATTTAGATCATGTAGAATCTCTATGATGACATTAGGCAGAAATGACAGCCAAATTGGCAAGAATTCCAAATCAAACATTTTCAAGAGGTGATCAAAAGATAGAGTCTTAAAAAGACAAACATCTTTCAAGGGATGTGAAGTATAATGGAAATTCTACACCTGTTCTTCATCTTTTGAAAGGTAGAATTGGTCCAACTCCTCATTTAAGTTAAGCAGAATTTGAAACTGGTTTACGATCTTATGCAAAAACTGATAAAAGTCTTATTGAAAAAGAACGTAATTGGACTACCGTTCCAAAAACGTAACGTAAAGATGTTTTCCCTGAATTCCTGCCTAATTATAAAGAAGAGATATAGAAAAAGAAATCTATGAGTATGAGTGGAGGAAAATTGGTCAAACTTACTTATAATGGTAATTATTTAAATTCATTTAATAAGCTTTTGATTCAGATTCAAATTACCCTCCTTATTTAATGAAGTTTCATGAAAAGAATCTTTAAAATGTTAAACATATGTTTGTACCTGCAATTAAGATGTCAACTGTTTAATGGTAAGATGGTCTTAGACCTTTAGAGAATATTAAGAAAGAAAAAAAGCCAAAAAAATGATTTTTGAATCTAGTAGAATTTAATGAACTCATATGAGTATAATTTTTATTTATCGAAAATCAAATTTGAGAAATTATTAATCTATTCTTAATTATAGAAATTGATAGACAAATTATCATAATTGGAGTATTTCAGAAATAAATGTAAAAAAAAAACACTTCAATAGTATTATCTAATTGAAAATCTATAAAACAAGTTTTAATATAATTATTATATTTCTAAATTTTAGCTTCTTGATTTATATCTCTTTATTAAACTAATAAATTGAGTTAATAAAGTTTAAGAGATGATGTAAAGATGGAATTAATTAGAAAGAATTGTTTAAGAATTAAATTAACAATAGATGATATTGTATTAATAATTGGGTCTTATAAGTTACAGTTTGACTATCAAATATGAAAAATAGAATAGCATAGATTAATATCATGAAAGTATTTGATATCTTAATTTGAAAACTTAATTGAGTATAAAAATGAATGGGTTTAGCTATAAGTCTATGTAAAGTGAATTGATACTATAATAAAATATTTAATGGGTAATTGTTGTCCAAAAGGTGATGCACATTCTGAGAGAAGCTCTATAGCGAATATTGTAGTTGAGGAAATGGAGTAGACAAAGTTGAAGGGAATACAACCAATGAATTCTAGTTAAAACTTAGTTGGAAGCAGCAATGCGTTGGGAATATCAAAGACAAAGAGTTTGTTCAATAGGGATGATTTCATAAAGATTGATAAATTGGGTTATGTAAGATGTAATTTAATGATAAGGGAGCTTTTGGGGTTGTTTATAAGGTGAAATAGAAAAGTACAAATAAAATATATGCGATGAAATAGATAGAGAAGGAGAAGATTTTTAAAAATAAGTTATAAAGTAATACAGTATTAGAGAGGAATGTTTTAAAATAGAGTAAGCATCCTTTTATAGTTCGATTGAAATATGCATTTCAAACAAATTCTCATATTTATTTTGTAATGGAATACATAGCAGGAGGCGAATTCTATAAGATATTAAGTTAAGTGAAAACAGGATTACCTGAGAATGTAGTAAAATTTGTAGCAGCAGAGGTAGTATTAGCACTTGAATACTTAAATACAAAATTAAAAGTGATATATAGAGATTTAAAACCAGAAAACTTATTGTTAACAACAACAGGACATGTAAAATTAACAGATTTTGGATTGGCTACAATGAGAAGAGAGAATGGAGAGAAATCATATACTGTAAATTAATAAATATTTAAAAATTGAAAAGGTTGCTGGGACTGCAGAATATCTTGCACCAGAAATAGTGAATAAATCAGGACATTCATATGAAGTGGACATTTGGACTTTGGGAATACTGATTTATGAGATGATAAATGGTTTTACACCATTTAGAGATTCAAATAATGATTTTAAGATGATATCCTAAAAGATAATTGAAAACTAACCAATATATCCAGAAAAGATGTCATAATCAAGTATAAATTTGATTAAATAAATATTGTAGACTGATCCATAGGAACGTTTAGGAGTTAAAGTATAAAATCATTATTATTAATTAGGGGGATGGTTATGCTGAACTGAAGAAACATGAATTCTTTCATGATATATTATGGGATTAGATGTCAAATCTAAAAATAACATCACCATTAAAAACATTTGCAGAAAGAAACTCTTAGAAAATGAATTTGATTAGTAAATAACCATAGAATTTTTAAAATACTCCTTGTAATCCTTAAAGTCCAAAACTTAAGATTGATGGAATCACTTTTGATGGAGAAGGGGGTACATTGTCTTCACATTTTTGAAATTATAATTAAATAAATGACTTGAACAGCATTAAAATATGATCAATCATCATCTTCAATAGGGTAACCTCTAATTTTGCTCATGGGAATGAATATTTGATTCTTCCATCCATCTTCTAATTTAACCTTTTCAATATCTTAAGGAAAATTGGTTTATATGATTTTTAATTCACAACTATCTTCCCTTTCAATAAGTCTTAAAGTAACATTTGAATATTATTTCCAATTATTAAATTTCCATGTCATTTAGATTTCTTAATTTTCAACCTAATTATTATTTTATTATACTAATTTATTAAATACACCTTCAATTCTTCCTTCCATAATTTTATATTATCCTCCTTCCTTTGGTTCAACAACAGCAGGTGCTCTTGTATATTACATAATCTCAAATGGATCAAGAAGAGCTTAGTAAATGATCTTTGATGGTACTCCCCAAACAATAGAAAATTCTAATTTATCCATTAATTAAAAATAATATAAATTCTCTTTAATAGATATATTTATTTTAATAATTATTAAAAGAGTGTTCCAGAAATGTATATATCATATAATTATTCACTAAATCAATTCTAATTTGATTTGACTGAATTCTGCCTAAAAACTAGAATCTTATGGACTACAAGCATAGATTCCAACAGAAGTTTCATGAATTTCTTTGTGTAAATGACAAACTCGTATTTCATGGAATTCTTTTCCATCATATGAAAATTCTATATTGAAATCTTATCCTTTTCTTTTTAATCTATAATAAAACTCTTTATATTAAGATGAAACATTTTAATAACCCCAATCAGAATAACCAAGATTTGTTACGACTGATCCTAAAGTTGAATAATTTTGATCATGAAATTCAGAAGATGCTTTAATCCAATTTTCTTTATCTTCAAAAAGAATGATTCCTGCTTAATCATATAAAACTTTGGTATGATAATTAACTTTACAGGTGAATATAAAATCACCTTTTACCTTAGTAACATAAGTAGGAGCATCATATTTAATAAATCCATAATGAGTTTAAGACCAATAATCTGTAAATGGTTAAGTGACTAAAATGAGACGATCATCTTAAATTTTCCATTCTTTAGGTTCATTTAACCATTACCAATTTAGATTTGTTTAATCCATAATAAATATATATAATAATATATAAATTGAGTTATCATCCATATCTTAACCAATCAATGAATAAGTATATGCAATAAGGTATTCCAACTATTATAGCCACTCCAATTCCTAAAATTACCAGTAGAAAACAGATTGGGGATGTTGCTGGACAAACTATAATAAAGAATATAATAATAAATGTTTTTTTGCAACAACTATATTCTTCAAATTGATGATAAGGTACATAATTCATATAAAATATAACTGGTAATCCAATAACTAAAATTATAAATCCCAATACAAGTGCAACAATAAATAAAGGGGGTCCTAATATCAATATTAAAAGAATTGCTATTATTCTATATAAAATTGGATATTTAAATGGATCTCTATGAGTAAATTACATTCCTGGACATCCAAATATATTATAAGAAGAATAATGTCTATGAGTATATTCTGATCTGCATAACCAACAAAATTCATATTTACAAGTTTTACAAGTCATATGATTACATCCATCACTTTTTTAAATTGGAGATTGACATTTTTTACATTTTTAGATCTTTAATTTCTTAATAGTATTTTTAAAATCTTTATCAATTTGATCATTACAACTTTTACCCTTATGTCTTTCTCTACCACACTTACGGCATATTTCTTAACCACATTTACATTATAATCTTTTAGATTAATTTCTCTTCAATGTTTCTTCACAACCTAATCTTGGACACCAAACTATATCAGGATCTAATTATAATTATTTTATTTTTCTGAATTTTTTTAATTTAGACATCATTTCTGGTTCTAAAATTGATTCCATAAATTCATCTGTCTATTATTTATTACAATCTTATTATGGACATACCATTTAATCTACTTATCCATTATTAATTTTATCTATTAAGTATTCTTTAAAGCATAATCTATTATTTTAATATTAATACTAACAAAATTTATGATCACACTATAGAATTATTTAATCATTCATAGTTTCCATACAAATTTCACAAGTTTCGAAAATCAAAATTTATTAAGATGCTTTTAAACTTTTATTTCCTAAATAACTCATTAGATTGGGACTTAATGTTCCAATTTGTTCTCTAAGTTCACTTCTACGTTATCTTTATTACGACTAATCTTCATTTTTATAGCTCTTATAATACATATTATTTATGTATTTACATTTATGATAAATATTGCTTATATCACCTTATCTAAAATTACATTCTCATCAAGTGTTTCAAAATCTACATCACTAATACTATTGAGTATAGTCTCTGTAAGATTCATATCAAACTCCATCTCCATCATTTTTATTAATATATTTTTCTAAATTTATTGTCTTCCATAATCTTCAGACATCAACGGCAAAGAATTTTTTCTAAATTATATAATTTTATCCTCTTCCAATAAATCCTCTCTCAACATCGTCACTTAGTGTGATGAACTATAATCTTAACTCTAATGAATTCTTGACATATAGATGTTCTTTTATAAATTTATATTACTTTTTTTTATTTTTCAATCATTATTACTATGATTACCAGAAAAAGAATACAAAGTCATTAATTACCTCGCATCAATAAAGTTAATCGATCAAATACCTTTGAACATCATGACTCTTTCAAAAGAAATAATAGTTGTTTCATACTCTAACTCACTAAAAGATCATAATTATTAATGTCTTTTATTAAGGATCCAAAATATGAACAACTAACATCATTATTTAATATTCCCGTAACTCACTATAATTAAGTAGGATGATACAGATTTATATGAAATTCAGACAAATATCTATTTAGAATATATAGCCATCATTCTATACTATCTAATTAAACATGATTTAACAGTTTCTTTGCTCTACAATTACAAATAGAAGTTTATTAAAACCATTATAATGCATCATCAAATTTGGATGAAATTTATCAAACTTTAAGAAGAACCATTTCAGAAACTTCTATAAATCTAGTCCACTTTAGATTAAATTTCATTCATTATCGTTTAATAGTATACTATTATCAATTAATTTTCAGTCACATTGACCATTCCCATCTCAGAATTCAGTTACTTGAATATTTTAGACTATTGAAATAGCATCAAAGTAACTTTTCAATAATTTCCAAAATCATTATAAACAAAATACTTCCCATTTTACAAACACAAAATTTAGTTTGCTATCATCTATCTATCAATTCTGAGGCTTACACACTTGTCTTGGATATGGATGAAACTTTAATTTATTATGATGGTGAAAAGGTATATTAGCGTCCATTCTTAATAACTTTTTTAAAATAAATGAGCAGAATCTATGAATTGATACTTTTTACAGCAGGATTAGAATCTTATGCAAATAGAATTCTGAGTAAACTTACAATAAAATAATACTTTTCCTATTTTCTTTTTAGATAGCACACGAATATTTATAAGGATTTTTATGGAAAAGATTTAAGAAAATTAGGAAGACTTTTATCAAAAACCATTATAATAGATAATACTCCTGAATGTTTTAGTTTGTAACCAGAAAATGGAATTCAGATTTAAACATGGAAAGGAGATCTCTCAGATACGATTCTTTTAATCTTAATTCCAATATTGAAAGCTATAAGATTTAGTAATAAAGACATAAGAATTAAATTAAGAGAATTTAAGAATTATCCTGGCTTAATTTTCCCTAAATGAAATTTTATTATTATATTTATGTAGACAAATAATCACTTAATATTATATCATCATAATTAATAAATTCAATCTTTCTATAATAGATAGAATTAAATTAAAAATGCTTTGAATTCAATAAGTCTAATTTTCTAAATTAAAAGAATTTTTTAAAGAAAGTCTTTATAAATTAATGAGACAATTGATATTGTAACGAAAATATTAATAAAATAAAGACTTTTCTTCTCATAATGTAATGATATTAAAAATTGATGATAAAAGTCCTATTAAATAATAATGGAAATTGAGAAATAAAATAATTTAAAATATTGATAACCTTTTTTATATAAAAAAGTTAATTAAATATGAACATAATAGCGCTGTTGAATCTTTTTATTAGATAATAAATAAAATAAATAAAAAAAATTAGATTTTTTGTAAATGATGCCGATCTTAAATCACATATATGAGAAAATCACAACTAAGAGAACTATTGATGAGGAATAAAAAAAATTTGAAGAGTTAGTTGATGAGGTAACTTCATTATTGGAAGATGTTGATTACTATAATAATGCTTCAGAAGATTTATATAACAATCAACAAAAGCAGATAATTTTCTTATGTAAAGAGCTTTTACACAAGTGTGAATAATCTTTAAGATAGTAAACATCAAAAGATAATTTGTAATTTATTTGATTCAAATTTTATATAGTTTAATTTGCTTATTTAATAGTTAGAATAATGTATATAAGGAAATGTTACAGAATATTGAAGAGTTAAGAAAATTCAAGGTTAAATTAAAAGAAATGGAAATTCAATCTGTGTAATTAGTACAAACAGTATTGATACCAAAATAAAACAGAATATAGACATAATAGAGTAAATAATCATGATTATTATTAGCATCAATCTATTCAATTAGGATTGTCCTAAAACTTTCAGCCCCTAAAAATATTTAATAAATATTTTTTTAAAACCCTTTACATCTGAAGAATGAGTATGTTTTTAAACTTTAGATGGAATTAACAGATTCTCAAAAACATATTTGGGATTTTTAAAGATAACAATTTATAAAAGTCAAATAATTGATAAAAGACATAAATATTTTTACCTTATCTAAAAAACATTGCACTCTTGAAATGAGAAACTCTCTTAAATATACTGATTCCGAGAAAGTTAAATATAATAATTGTATGACCAGACCTGAAATAAACTCATAAGAAATTAAGTAAGATTAAAATGATTAAGCATATGCATTAAAAATGTTTTTGGTTGTAATAGGTAAGAATGGTCTATAAGTAATACGAAAGTCAAGAATGATAAAATTAAATATGGGAGAAGATTACGAATTGATGGAGAAAGATTAAATAGTACTTATGCAGGACTAAAATTCGGAACCATTAATTTCTTATAGTGTTAAGAAGTTTGTGATTTAATAATTATGATTTTGATTTTGATTTTGTTTTTGATATGATTATAGAAATCTATAGAATTTAGAATATTAAATCAAAATATACTTTATAGATCAGTGTATTAGTTATTATTATTATTATTTTAACCTTCAGAAATCGATTGTTATTATTATTATTATTATTATTATTATTATTATTATTGTTATGTTTTATCTGGTATTAATTATTGTAAATAATTTGGATTATTAGTAATGTCGTTGAAAATTGGTTATTATTGAAACATGAAGGATTAATTATTTTATTGAGGATTAACAAATAATTAAACCATTTAGCCTTCCCAATCAATATTCATTCTTGTAACTCTTGGTGCTTAAGTATTGATTTGTCTGTATACTCTATCAATTAGTACTTATGGAGGATCGTTTTCAATAAGTTCTGGTTCTAAATAAGTATTATAAACATAGTATCCAACCTAATAATAAATAGAACTAATATAAATACTCTAAAGAATTCTTGTTTTCTATACTTAACACTGAGAATAATAGCACTAGCACCAAATAAATCATCTTTACTAGGAATGAGCTCAAAATTTGGACCACAACTCATTAGTGTAAATTACATTGTTCCCTATTGTAAAGGTGGCATAGAAAACTATTCAAGTGTTTGATCATATCTATCACTTGTTGGAGATCCTATGTAAATAAGTCTAAGTTTATAATTTTTAATACTTCCATTCTATTTCTTCATCTAATTATCTCATCACTTCAAAAGTGATTTACATTTGAATAGGACTATTAAACAAAGATGTGTCTTAATCAAAAACTATGTTGGTAATGTTAATCAAAGCCATTTACAAATTTAAATATTAATAAATAAACCCTCGAAATTTTATCTCTAATTTTAATCACTCTCATTAAATTATTGGTTTCATTTATCTTTATATCTTTTTAAGAATATCGTTTTTTTTTAGACTTAATATTTCTTAAGATTTGATTATATCATTTACATAAGTAACATTAGTTTAGCGAATTTTTAGTTGAAATATATTTAATAAGTTATCAAAATAATTAGTTCTTTCAAATTGATTTAATATGAAACTGAGAATTTGTTTTAATAATTTTAGATTTAATCCTATATTGAGGGTATGATATTAGAAAAATAAAAATATTATTCTATAATTAAGAAATCTAAAATAATATATTTGAGAATGAAAATAAAGTTAAATAAATGAATTAAAAATAAGAGGAGAGAATAAGAGTAATAGTTATGGAATATTTAAGGTAAATGTGTATCCCATAATAAATATAAATATTTTTAAAATATAATTAGTATGAAATTAAGTTATGAATATGACAATGATGATAATATACAGACCTGTTCTGAAACAAGTATGCTGTAAAACATTTCCATGCTAATGCTGATATATATTTGTTAATTTTTTTTGTATTAAATGTTGTTTGTTAAGTAAGTAAGAGAGTGATTGAAAGATGTATAAAGATTTAAATATTAAAAATCATAAGGAAATGTACGATGACGAAGATTATGATATTTTGATGAAAATAATAATAGTAGGAGATTCTGGTGTTGGTAAAACGAATTTAGTGAATCGTTTTACTTAACAAACATTTCTGGATGATAGTAAACCAACAGTTGGAGTTGAATTCTTTTCTAGAAATATTGATATAATGGGAAAGACAATAAAGGCTTAAGTATGGGATACAGCAGGTTAAGAGAAGTATAAATAGAATTAAAAAAGAGATTTCGAGCAATAACTCATGCATATTATAGAGGTGCAGTAGGTGCAATGATATGTTATGATATTACAAAAGAATAGTCATTTTTGAATGTTGAGAAATGGATGGATGAATTAAGAGATCATGGAGATTCTAATTTAATGATGATGTTGATTGGGACAAAGTGTGATTTAGAGAGTAAAAGAGTATGGTAATAGTTTCAATTAGGTTGTGAGAATTGAAGATGGAGCATAAAAAGCATTGTAATATAATATGGCATTTTTGGAGACATCATCATTGAAGGCTGTAAATGTAGGAAAGGCTTTTTCAGTTTTGCTTGAAAGTATGAATGAATTTTGACTTTAGAGATTTATGTTGGAGTAGATANTTTACATAAGTAACATTAGTTTAGCGAATTTTTAGTTGAAATATATTTAATAAGTTATCAAAATAATTAGTTCTTTCAAATTGATTTAATATGAAACTGAGAATTTGTTTTAATAATTTTAGATTTAATCCTATATTGAGGGTATGATATTAGAAAAATAAAAATATTATTCTATAATTAAGAAATCTAAAATAATATATTTGAGAATGAAAATAAAGTTAAATAAATGAATTAAAAATAAGAGGAGAGAATAAGAGTAATAGTTATGGAATATTTAAGGTAAATGTGTATCCCATAATAAATATAAATATTTTTAAAATATAATTAGTATGAAATTAAGTTATGAATATGACAATGATGATAATATACAGACCTGTTCTGAAACAAGTATGCTGTAAAACATTTCCATGCTAATGCTGATATATATTTGTTAATTTTTTTTGTATTAAATGTTGTTTGTTAAGTAAGTAAGAGAGTGATTGAAAGATGTATAAAGATTTAAATATTAAAAATCATAAGGAAATGTACGATGACGAAGATTATGATATTTTGATGAAAATAATAATAGTAGGAGATTCTGGTGTTGGTAAAACGAATTTAGTGAATCGTTTTACTTAACAAACATTTCTGGATGATAGTAAACCAACAGTTGGAGTTGAATTCTTTTCTAGAAATATTGATATAATGGGAAAGACAATAAAGGCTTAAGTATGGGATACAGCAGGTTAAGAGAAGTATAAATAGAATTAAAAAAGAGATTTCGAGCAATAACTCATGCATATTATAGAGGTGCAGTAGGTGCAATGATATGTTATGATATTACAAAAGAATAGTCATTTTTGAATGTTGAGAAATGGATGGATGAATTAAGAGATCATGGAGATTCTAATTTAATGATGATGTTGATTGGGACAAAGTGTGATTTAGAGAGTAAAAGAGTATGGTAATAGTTTCAATTAGGTTGTGAGAATTGAAGATGGAGCATAAAAAGCATTGTAATATAATATGGCATTTTTGGAGACATCATCATTGAAGGCTGTAAATGTAGGAAAGGCTTTTTCAGTTTTGCTTGAAAGTATGAATGAATTTTGACTTTAGAGATTTATGTTGGAGTAGATAATTAAGGAAAGGAATATTAGAAGAGAACAAGTTTAAAATTAAGTTCTGAACCAATTGGAATATAAATGAATTAATAACATAAAATAGAAATGAAAACTAAATAGAAGAAATAATGTTGTTGAGAATGAGTTATTTATTTTTAATTTAAAATTACTAATAGATAGAAAAAAACATTAAATTAAATATTTAATTTATGAGCACATTTTATTTATTTGAGGCAGCAGCTGGTTTAGCCTTATTTTAATGTGATAGTATAGATGAAACAAATGTTAAATCTAAATAGATTCAAAAACAATTCTCTGAGTTTGGTTAATTCACAGAAGTATGTCACTTAAAAGTAATAATAATTCTTTATTTAGGCATTTCAACCTTTTATTTCTGCAGAAATTGCTTTAAATAATGCTTTATCAATTCATTCAGGTTCTGTGACTTAAGAGTTAGTAGATTTCTTATCAACCAATTTACCTCCTGTAGGAAAGAAAAACAAGTAATTTATTAGAAATATTATTTATTAGTTTTTCAATTGCTATTTGCGATAAAGGATTGGCTGCTGGACTTTAATAATATTTGAATTTAAAGAGTAAAATGAATGAAGCAACTGCTTAAGTATTTAGAGGAATTAGAACACATTTTGTTGAATTTTTAAGAAATGAAGATTTTAAAGAGAGAGATTATATTTAAGCTTAATTAGGTTTAGCACATTAAGTATCCAGAAATAAAGTTAAGTTGGATATTAATAGAGAAGATAAACATGTGACTTAAGCTATAAGCATAATTGAATAATTAGATAAAGATCTTAATACCTTAAGTATGAGAATTAAAGAATGGTATTCATGGCATTTCCCAGAATTAGCTAAGATTGTTACAGATAATCGTATCTTTACAAGAATTGTAGATACTTATGGAGATAAGAAGAATATTAATGATTAGGCTTTATAAGATATTGAAGAAATTACAACAGATGCTGAATTAGCAAAATAAATAGTAGAAGCTGCTAAAATATCAATGGGATAAGATATTTCTGAAATTGATTTATCTACTCTTAAAGATTTATGTATAAGAGTTTTAAATTAATTTGAATTCAGAGATAATATTCAAGAATATTTAAAAAATAAAATGACAAATATTGCCCCTAATCTTACAGCATTAATTGGTGAAAATGTAGCTGCTAAATTGATTGCTCATGCTGGATCATTAATTAATCTTGCCAAATATCCTGCTTCTACTATTTAAATTTTAGGAGCTGAAAAAGCATTATTTAGGGCTTTAAAAACTCGAGGAAATACTCCTAAATATGGTTTATTATATCATAGTACATATATTGGAAGAGCTAATGGTACTGATAAAGGAAAAATATCTAGGTAATTATTTATCAATTATTATTATTTATTAGAAATCTAGCCAATAAATGTGCTATTGCTTCCAGATTAGATCATTTCTTAATTTAACCTACTGAAAAATTCGGTGTTAAATTAAAAGATTAAATGGAACAAAGATTGAAGTTTTTAACTGCTGGAGGTGAATTAAATAAAAATACAGATATTATGGATGAAGTCTTAACCGAATTAAAAGGAGAAGGACTATATTTTGAAAGTGAAAAATAATTAACCAAATAATAAAAGAAATCTAAAAAATCAAAATCTAAAAAAGTTGTTGAAGAAGTTCATGAACAACCAGAACAACCTGAAGAATAACCATAAGAAGTTCCTAAAAAAAAGAGAAAAGCATCCAAATAATAATGATATATAAATATGGTATATTAAATAAAAATATTATTCACGAATTCTTTAGAATTCCTAATGAATTATGACTTTGTATATATATTACAATATAAATGTAATTTTCAAAATTTTTTTATAGATTTATTTATCTTCTAGAATTTTCGATGGCTTTTAGAAGTATGATTCCCTAATATCTAATGAGTCTTAAAAGTTTCTTGACATTTTTAACACTCAAATACTTTATGACCATTTCTAATTGTACAACCATTTCCTCTCTTTGTAATATAATGATTTAAAAATAATGAACAATCAGATTTCGAATCATCCAAAGAACCTTTTAGACATTGTTCAATAAAATCATCTAGAAATTCATTCTTTTATTCAACATCAAGATAATTTATTTCAGCATATAACATCTTTAATAACTCTACAATCTTGAGGCATTTTATGATCTATTGTGGTTTTTTGTCTCTTTCTTAATTGTGCATCTCTTTGATATTCATTCAATAATCTCTATTATTAGTTATAATAATCCAGAAAAATCTTTAATTAGTTATAATATAAAAAATTAGATCATCTTGATTTCTAACAATTTAATTGTTTTAGCAATAATATAAATGTATATTAAATATTAAAATATTAAAATATTATGAAGAATTCTTTTTTAAAACAAGCTTCTTATTATACTCTTTGTAATAATAACAATAATAAAGGATTAAAATTTGAATGTGATTGTCATTACCTATCTATCAACCATTTAAACAATTCAAAGTTTCCATAATAATACAATTGACTGTATTAAATAATCCAACTCTTATCAACCAATTTTGAGTATGAAATCTAAAATTATAATATTAATGCTCTTTTAAAAGATATTAACAATAGATATTAACTATTCTAGACATTTATCATTTTGTTGTTACATTAAAGAGATAAAATTTTCTTTTATACTTTGTCTGTTATTAATAAAAGTCTAGTTATTTTGATGATTTGCTTTGAGGTTTCATTAGTTATATATTAAGTTCACCTTTTTATCATCTTGCATTGATAAGTTGATAGTTGGATTGGAATTTAATTTGTTAATTCTGTTTGATTGATTAAAAATTTTAAGTATATTTAAGTGGGTGTTTTCTAGTATTCAATTTGAGTAATTCTTTAAGAAGTAATATTTTAGAACTTGGCAGATATATTTCTTTGATTTGATTAATATATTAATATATATATATATGTATTAGATTTTACTTTAAACATTTCAAAGACAGAGAAAGAAAAAGTTTCAGAGTTAATAGATAATTGTCCTTTAGAATAATTGAAGAGCATGAATTGAGAAATGAGAAGAAAATTAGATTATTTTTGTATTTAGGAATTAGTATTGATTATTGATTAAAGTATTTCTTTTTCTTTGGGATGGACTAATTTTTAAGTTTGAAAATCAAATTCATATTTGATTTGGTTATAACTTAATTTAATATTATAGTATCTATTTTCCTAGTAATAACAATCATTTTAATTCTTTTGATTTACTAATTGTTATAAATTAATATTTTTCTTAGTTTAAGTTTACTGATATAGCTAAAGGTTAAATGTGGAGTATTAGTGATCTTCAGATTAGGCATGTTGAGGAACTTAAATTTTATAATTAAACATTATTTAATATCTCACATATGAATAGTTTTTTCTGAATTTATATTTTGATTTCATCTCTATTTCTTAAATAATTTGGTTTCAGTTTAATTAATGAATAAATATGAAAATGAAAAATAGATAATTAAATATTATTGGGTTGCTAATCTTAAGTTTGTCTTAATTAACTGGTCTCTTTTATAAATTAGCATAGATTGTTTTCTAGTATTTATATCATTATTTAAATATATATAAAATTACTAAGCCAAACTCAGAGCTTAAGTTTGCTATAATTGATCAATTGGCTTGCTTTTTAAAATAGCTGTAAGTTTAAGTGATAAGATAAACTAAAAATCAATTTTATTTTTCATAAACAACATTTTTTTTGGTTTGACAATCCAATATTATATGGATTATTAAGAGATTATTTAATGATTTCATTAGGTAGAGATTAGGAATACAAATGATAGATAAGGAAAGATAAAATAGATTTAAATTATGGTAGAAGTAGAAAGATCAGTAATTAAATGATGAAGATATCGAAATATAATAATAATTGATATATGGATAATGTTATAATGAGATTAACTTAGGGATTAGTATAGATGAAAATGTATATTAAAGAGTATGAAGAGAATAATTAAAATTGTTTTTATAATTATTTAACGAATGCAGTATAGAGTTTAATTGCAGTAGATTAATTAGGATCCAAATGTTATTCCAATCTCGATTATGTAATCTCTCAAGGGTTTGAGCAAGTATTTTAAATAGAAAAAAGGTACATAAATGTAAAGATCTTGTACATCATTATCTCCAAAACAGAACATTACTCGAAAGAACTCTAATTAAGTTGAAAATCAACTTTTAAATTTTGTTAATAGTAATGAGAATAGATCAGTTCCAAATTTGTTTGAAAATGTCTAAAAAAAGAATATAAATGCTACTCTCAACCAAAAACCATCAAAAGGGAGAAGTTCATCAATTATGATGAATAATTTAAGTTAGGAAGATTGGAAATAGAAATATTTATAATTAAAGGATACTTTGAATCAACGTATCGCTTCCTTAGAATAAGAATTAGAAAGAATTTATGCTATTGAAAATAATGCAACTAGCATTATTGATTCTTTAAATCATTAGATTAATTAATAAAACTTATAATTAGAAGCTTATAGAAATAGAGTAAGAGAAATTGAAATAGATTTAGAAAATAAGAATTAATAAATAAAAAAGATGACTATTGATAACAATTAATTCTAGATAATAATAAATGAGAAGAATAACTAAATAGATTAATGGAGATAAGATTTAAGAACTCCAAAATAACCATTTCTAACCACAGCAATGAAATAAATTTAATAAATCTTTGAATAATTGGAGGTATTACAATTCATTCATAAATATATAGAACTCATAAACAAATTATAAAATTCATACACCATTAAGTCAAAATTTATCAATATCATCGTCATCGATGGTAGAAATGATAAATGAAATGAAAGAGTCTTCTTGATATAAAATATATTGATTATTTTAAAATGACTCAAAACATTCTATTGTTTAATTCTCTTTTAAGATTATGAGGAAAACACGAAATGCTTGGAGTAGGTCTGACCATTTCCATTAAATGATTAGGTCTAATTTAAAACTGAAATTTACTTGAATGGATCTTTTCCTTTAACAAAATCTTTTCTCTAAGTTGGTTTAAGAGGATCTCCTTTATATTGAGGATATTTGCTTAGACATCCAGTCTCACCACTTTTGGTTGGATTTGAAGGTTTAAAAGGAGCTTCATGTTTCATTATATTAGGTTTAAACTCTTTGACTTAAGTTGGCTAAATTCTATAATAAGTTTACTTTAGGTAAATTAGTTTCACCAAAGACTTATTTATCAGTGCTGAAATTATCAGTTGTGTAAATGGTACTCTTGAATGGTTATTTATCTTTGAGCATTTTTTATTCATTAAAAATTCTTTCTCTTTCAAATTAGCGATAACGATTGTATTCATCTTTTTCATGTTTAGGAAAATGACATAATTTATTAGAAGCAGGATTTGTAGTAACATTTTTAGGTCCAATTTTAACTCTGCCATCAGCATCTTTATGATTATTTGGACCTTTAGGTAATTCAAAATCAGCTTAGTGAGGATAAACACCACCATAAAGTTCTTTAAAGCCAGATGGAGGAACAAAATTCTTTTTATCATCAGAAGAATATTTTTTATTTTCTTCTAATTCTTAAATGCGAATTTTTCTTTCAGGGTCTATATATTTATCACCAATGGTTGTAAAGCCTAGTTAGCTAAAGTAAGATGACTTGATTTTGCCTGATTAAGGAGCTGTGACTTTCATGTTTGGAGGAGAAGTAATTGGTTTTCCTTATTCATTACGAGCAGCTAAGGTTTAAGAGAAATAATAAAACGTCTTGGTTTATTATCATAACTATTGTCACCCAAACCTAGGGGAACAGGTGAGGAGAATAGTCCAAATCTTTATACGGTAGCTAATTTCTCAGTATCTGCTATGGCCTTTTTACTTATTTCTTTTAATGTTGCTTCCTTTTCAGACATAAATTATATAATAATTAATTAATCAGTTAAATGGATAGCAAAGAGAACTATTTTAACATCAAATAAATGACAGAATCTTTTAAGAATGTTAAAAAATATTCATAACATTCCAACACTATTTTAGATTTGTTTATTGATATCACTTTAAAATTAGACAAATCCTCTAAAGATTATTTATCAAAAGTCATTCCTATTGATGATGATAAATAAACACTTAGCTAAGTTGATAGTATTATCATCATTAATTATTTCAAATAAATTGTCATCTATCTTATTAAAACTAAAGTAGAATTAGAAGAAAAAACATAATAACAAGAATCTCAATCTCAATATGAATCTTTGATTCAAAAACTTGAAGCTGATATCCGTTAACATATTAGAATTGAATAATAACTTAGAATCTATACAGAAACACTTTAATAAAAGATTGATGATTTCTTACTTGAAAAAGAATAATAAACTTAATTGATTAAAGAATATGAATAATAAATCAAATCAAAAAATAAAGATATTGTTATCTATTAAAGTGAACTACGTAAATTAATCAATTAAAACTAATCAAAATAAACTAAACTTATTACAGAACCTATCCTTGAAGAGTATGATACCACTTGTTAAGTTAACAAATTAAATTTAACTAATTATACTCATCATCGTAGACCTAGTCAAATTAATGATGATAAATCTGCAGCTAATAGTAAGTATTATTAATAAAAGAATCTCAACTCAATAGTTACAAAAATTCACCAGAAAGAATCCCAATTCGAAAAATATCTGTTACTAATTATGCTGAGACCAAAAACATTAAATAACCTGTCTTTATTCGATAACCATGGTAAAATAGAAGATTCTTATCATTTAGCCCTATGTCATATTCACATCTAAAAACTGAAGCATAACTAAGTTATAGAAGTAACAGTTAAGATAGTAAATAAGTTTTAAAAAGTTAAATAAAATGATTTCATACTTATTAAATATTTATATTACATTTATAAAAAATTATCTTTTTCCATAAATTTCAAATCGAAAATTATATTAACAAAAAGTCAAAAATAATATATCTAACTGATGATGTTATAAGAAATTAAAAAATTTATTTTGTAAATCACATTTTCTTAGAAAATCCACATATTAATATAATGAGTTATTTAGAAGACTTTTGAATCAAAAAAAATTTATGATATTACACATTCATTTCATTGCTTAATTAAAAATTAAAATTAATTTGATTAAAAAATAATACTTAATAGAGAAATCCTTAATAAAAATGAGTAAAATCATTTCTAAAATTACCAAAAATTAAAAATACTTTTACTTTTCTATCTAGTGAACTTCTGAATTTTTATTGATCTTATAGAAAAAAATTACAACTAAACAAGAATAATCCAAATTTATTACTTAAATTCAAAAATAATAAACAAACAATTTAATTTTAGAAAATCACTATTAAAAATAACTATGATTTATATGAAATTATCATCCTTAATTAGCTGATGACATTATAGCTTATTTTACACTTTTAGTTGTCACTACTCTCTATGTTTAATAACTAATTAAAATATAATAACTAATTTTACTTTTTATCTGGACTTAAATATTTTGATATTTAGGTTTAAGGGTTTAGTATTTTTTAGGAAAATTATGAAGACTTGACATCATTTTAAAACCAATCAGTATATTAATTATAAGATGAAGGAATTTAAGAAACTTAATTTATTCCAGATTATTTAGCCACAACTTAGAGATTGGATTTATTTATTCCTGAAATCTACTATCCTACTAATTAATTCACAATCATTTAATCATTTTATTTTTCTGTAAAGATCTATCTTTTGATTTTATTCTCTAATCTTGCATTTTCTTATTCTAAAATATGTAAACGTGATTCATAATCAGTTACACTTGTAATTAGAACTTGAATTTTATTCTCTTATTCTTATTTAATATTTTTTTATCTTTCAATTTCTATTTTTAATGTTTGAATATCCTGTTCATATTCTGTATTTGTTATTTATAACCTTTTTAATTGTTCAATATTGATATTTGATTATTGAGATCTTATTTATGTAATTTCAATTTTTGTTAAATTATATTATTATTCTAATTTTTAATATTTAGATATTTATTAATTCAATTCAATTTATGATTATTATAACTGAAAAGATAATTACTTTAGTTCTTATTTGTTTTATTAGATTAATCTATTTTCTAAATTCTAGCGTTCTACTGTTAATCTAGATATAAACTATTATTCTAATTCATCTCTAACTTACATATCTAAATTTCGTAATTCCAATTATAATTAATTATTTTCTTAATTCTTAGCTTATAATTCATAATCCAATTCTTTTAATTTACTGCTTAGTTTATCTAATTCAATAGAGCTACTCTTAAAAGATTCACTCTCTCTTTATATTAGAATAATTCTTTGATTAATTTATTCATATTCATTTTTATATTTTAAATTTTGCTCTTTCAAATTTGTAATTTCTTAACTATATTATAAGTTAATTTATCTCAATGATTATAATTCATCTCTTAAATTCTAACTCTCAAATTAATTTACTTGTCTTAATTCAATGTTTGATTCTTGATATTAGACCAATAGTTGATCATACTAATTTTGCAAAGATTTATATTATTATTATAAAGATTACAATTCAAAACGTCCTTATTGATTAAATTTCTATTCAGCAAACGACAATTCTACTTTTAAACGTTCTTTGTAAGACTATTCAAATTGAGATTCTTAATTTTATATTTACATTCTCAATTACTGTATTTAAGACTCATATTAAAAAACACGTTATTCATATTAATTAATCCTTTGTTTTAATACCTCTAGTTCTTTACTATTTTACTAAGAATATTTGATTTCACTTTCTCTCTCCAATAATATGTAATTTTAATTTAAAGACTCATAGTCATTTCTATATTTTCTAATTTATTCATTCAACTATTAGATTTCATTCTATTACCAACTACATCTATCTTAGATTGTTTAATATTCATTCTGTTAATTTGTGAATTAATAAGTATTTTTCTCTATTTGTGATTTTTATTATTTTAATTACAAATTTTCTTGATATAACATTTCTTAGTCATTCTGATATTTCTTAATAAGTTCTTTATAAGTATATATCTCTGATTGTATTTACATATACTAATTTTACAAATTTTTATACTCTTCTTTAAGACTTTATTGTTGATACTAAGATTGTTATGATTATTATTAATTTTATAATTAAGCTGATAAATTAGAATTTGAATTTTAAAGTAATTAATATTAATAATTAGAATTTCTTAATTATTATTCAAGTTCAATAATTCTTTATCTTAATTAATCTAATTCTAAATTATTATTTTTATTATATTAATCACTTTATCTCTACATTATCATTAATTCATTTGATAATCTTTCATAATCTTATTGATATTTATCTCTCTCTTATCTTAATTAATTCAATTCTTATTAATATTAAGTTTTATTTTAATTTCTAAACTCTTAATATTCATTTTATGTAGAACTTATTCTTTAATCTCTTTCATTTAAATCTTAAATTAAAATTTAAATATCTTATTCCATCTCTGCAATTTTTCTTTTTAAAGCATCAACTTCTTATGTATCACATTTTTTATTATCACAACTAATTCTGTATCCATTTAGTTCTTTTTTAGATTTTTCAGCTTCTAATTTTAATTATTCTACTTATAATTCAAATTGTCTAATTCTTTCTTATAAATAAATTATTTAATTATCTTTTTGTGAAACTTTTTGTTCGATAGAATAACCTTATTCTTAAGTCTATGTAGCTTTGTAACGATTTTACCATACCAAGATCTCATTTTATAATGCAGATATTCTTTTTATATAATTTTCAATCTCTACATTTTAATTTTTATTTATAGATCTCAGAGATGATTATTAAATTTCTTAAATATATTAATCACAATTAAAATTCAAACTTTATATTTCTTATTGTTAATCTTAAATTTTATCTTCTAATAATTAAATCTTTCTTTTATATTCATCTCTTTCATTTTTAAATTGATCTAAATCTAAAACAATTGATTATTTGATAGTATTTTATTAATTTTATATTTAAGAGGTTTAGAATTTCTAAGTTTATAAATTCTTTAATATAATGAGATCTTCTTTTTCCAAAGTTAATTATTTAATTTAATCTCTTAATTCATTAATTTCGTAATTTGGTGAATATGAAACATATACTGTCTTTTTAATTTATTCTTCTAATTATTTATTTTCTTATTTTAACTTATTAATCTCATCTTTGTATTAATTAATTTCAAAATCATTGCCTTAATGAATATTTGTTATTCTATTAGTCCCTTTTTCAACTTATAATTATTTATACTTATTTTTCCATTAATCTATTTCATTTATATAATCAGAAATTTATTTATTTAAGGAATCTACACTTTATCTTAAATTTGCAATTTCTAATTAAAACTATTTAATTACCACTATCCTTTGCTATAATAATCTTCTAAAATGATGCTTAATCATTAATTGTAATTTACTCTTACATTATTGGATTAGTTTAAACTCTATAATCTTCTGGCCTTAATAAATCAATTATTAATTTACCTTAATTAAGCACCCGTGATATATTATTGATGTTGAACATTTCTTATAGGTTAGTAAGCATTTACTCTTTTATCTGTTGTTTCTATTTTGAATTATGTAAATCCACTCATTTGATGTAAAAATTGTTAAAAAAATTAAATGATATTAATAAATGATTATCAAATTCATTCTATTTTTGATATTTTGCTAAGTTTAATTTCTGATTTTAACAAATCATTTATTTTACTGTTTTCCATAAATGAATCTAATTAATATTGTTTGTTAAACAAATAAGTAGTGCTTTTACTTTTAACAAATGCAAATTATGTTTTCATCATAGGAGAACTTTGAAATTTAGGTTTAATCTGTTAAACCTTATTAAAAATTACTCTAGTCATATGATCACGTAACTTTTCATATCTATGAATTTAATCTTATTATTTTTATTTAAGAATTTATTTTTTAAGCTCAAGTCTTTATAATTCTTAATTTTCCTCATCAATTTTTATTATTATTATTTTCTTCTCAAAGGTGAATGCAACCTTCTTTTTAATGCATTTTTACTCCACTATAAAATGTTTGCCTAAATTTAAAAAAAATTATTTATCGCATTAGCCTTTTCCCTTAAATTTTAAACTGTCAATATTGATCTTAATTGAGAGTTTTTCACTTCTTATATTTATATAATATGATTATATGTAATCTTTTGAAATTAGAAATAACAATAAATATTTTTACAAAATAAAATATTAGCTTTTCTATTTTAATATTTTGTAGTAGCATCTAAACAAATTGCACAAAGCATTTTTGTTAAAATATAATAATTTATTATTTTTAGATTTATATTATATTTGCTCATCGAAATTCCTCTTCAAACTTTTACTTCACGTTTAAATATTAATTTTCCTTTTTCATGATTTCATCATTTTAAAACTCTCTATAAAAAAGAGCCATATTAACTAATTCTATTTTCATTTATCCTTCTCTCTTAAAGCAGCATATTAGTGAAATTAAAATTAAATTTCCCATATCAATATAATAAAATTAAATTGAATCTTTTCTCTTTAAATAATAATCTATTATCCAAGTGTATCATTTTTGAATGTTCTCCCTCATTATAANAATCTTCTAAAATGATGCTTAATCATTAATTGTAATTTACTCTTACATTATTGGATTAGTTTAAACTCTATAATCTTCTGGCCTTAATAAATCAATTATTAATTTACCTTAATTAAGCACCCGTGATATATTATTGATGTTGAACATTTCTTATAGGTTAGTAAGCATTTACTCTTTTATCTGTTGTTTCTATTTTGAATTATGTAAATCCACTCATTTGATGTAAAAATTGTTAAAAAAATTAAATGATATTAATAAATGATTATCAAATTCATTCTATTTTTGATATTTTGCTAAGTTTAATTTCTGATTTTAACAAATCATTTATTTTACTGTTTTCCATAAATGAATCTAATTAATATTGTTTGTTAAACAAATAAGTAGTGCTTTTACTTTTAACAAATGCAAATTATGTTTTCATCATAGGAGAACTTTGAAATTTAGGTTTAATCTGTTAAACCTTATTAAAAATTACTCTAGTCATATGATCACGTAACTTTTCATATCTATGAATTTAATCTTATTATTTTTATTTAAGAATTTATTTTTTAAGCTCAAGTCTTTATAATTCTTAATTTTCCTCATCAATTTTTATTATTATTATTTTCTTCTCAAAGGTGAATGCAACCTTCTTTTTAATGCATTTTTACTCCACTATAAAATGTTTGCCTAAATTTAAAAAAAATTATTTATCGCATTAGCCTTTTCCCTTAAATTTTAAACTGTCAATATTGATCTTAATTGAGAGTTTTTCACTTCTTATATTTATATAATATGATTATATGTAATCTTTTGAAATTAGAAATAACAATAAATATTTTTACAAAATAAAATATTAGCTTTTCTATTTTAATATTTTGTAGTAGCATCTAAACAAATTGCACAAAGCATTTTTGTTAAAATATAATAATTTATTATTTTTAGATTTATATTATATTTGCTCATCGAAATTCCTCTTCAAACTTTTACTTCACGTTTAAATATTAATTTTCCTTTTTCATGATTTCATCATTTTAAAACTCTCTATAAAAAAGAGCCATATTAACTAATTCTATTTTCATTTATCCTTCTCTCTTAAAGCAGCATATTAGTGAAATTAAAATTAAATTTCCCATATCAATATAATAAAATTAAATTGAATCTTTTCTCTTTAAATAATAATCTATTATCCAAGTGTATCATTTTTGAATGTTCTCCCTCATTATAATATTCATTAAATTATAATGATCATATATATAAGGACATCTTTATATTAATCTAGGAACTCTTAAGCAGGAAATAATTGAGTCAGCTATTTATTTTAGTATTCAATTATTTTCTCTTTAAACATTAATTGATTATGTGATTCTGATAATCTATTTATTTTTCCAAGTTAAATATGAATGAATTCTAATTATCTTCTCTTTAGGCACAAGAAAATTAAACATAATCAAAACATTTATTATTCTCCAAAATTATCAAATTTTTTAAAAATTCTAAAAATATTTGATCTTAGATAAGGAAAGGATTTATGTATTCAAACAATTAATAATGATTAATTGTGTTTATAGATATAAATCAATTGATATTCAACTTAAGACAAAGTGATTGATGAAAAGAATGATTGTAAGCCTAAATTATTTTAGATAACTATTACCTAAATTAAAAGGAAGTTTTTAATTTTAATACATTTTTAATATAAATAATATAGCTAAATATAACCTCATTATTTTAATTTTTTGACTTCATTCTTACATGCAGATATCAACACTTCCTCTTATAATTCTTCATATGGAATATGAACATATTTAACGGTAGATCCTCTAATAAAACTATTTTTTAAAGTTAATAATTAAGGTTATTTTAGAGGATCAGATACTTCAGGATCAACTAAGTTAAAATTAAGATTATCATCAACATATGTAATCTATCCCTATATTTATAAACCATTCTTTAATTCAATGGTTACACTAACACAGCGTTCAATTAATCCTCTAAAATATGTTTGAAAGAATTAACTTTACATTAATTATATTAATTTAATATTATTATTATTGAAATTTGATGGAATGTTAAGATTTTAAATTGTTTTTTTCCGTCTAATTATTATAATGGTATTTTTATCCATCTAAAATATATATATATATAATTATGATCAATTTCATATATAAATGGAACAAACTCTTGTTGGGTCTTGAGAGCATTTCAATATTGAATTTGATGTTTTATTATCATCCATAAGGATTGGATTAACCCAACTTAAACTGGGTTGTCCTTTTAATTTTAAAATTGTTTTTTATATGTTGGTAACATTCTGATTAGGTTTGTATGTACAAACTATTAATTATTCATTAAATGATATTTTGGAATGTTCCAACCCTAAGTCATCTGGCTCCTCTTCAATTATAGATATTTTATGGTGAACACTTAATGGTATCATTGGATTCAATTTGAAATGTGGAGATTATGCAATCATTAATAATAAGTTTTAGTTTAAAGATTTCAAATATAAAATGATTTAAATTGAACATTATTTTAATGCGTATCAAATGACAATTTGTCATATAAACTTTATTCCTTTTGATATTTTGTTATAATTGATACTAAATATTCTATTGATAAACTATAAATCATTGTATTCTTAATAGTGAAGACCTTCTTAAAAACAACTATTATAATTATTATAATGTATCTCTTTCTTAATTTATAAAAATTACAACTTAAACACTTACTTTTAGAATTTTTATATTCTTCAGAATAATTATTATAATGTGAGGCTCAAAATTTTTTTTTTAGAAGAATTATAAGATTTATGATCTATTGTTCCATAAATTATGAGATATATCTATTGCTTTTTATATTATTATTTATTAAGCATGATCAAGTTCAACAACAATATACTTGAATGATAATTTATCATAAGAAAAAATTAATATAATAGAAAAATAATAATTATGAGTTCAGAAGATGACAAAGATCAAAAATTGCTTGAATTACAGAAAATAGGAAGAAACTTAGAATTATAAAACTACCAATTAAGATAAGAATTAAAGTAGTTGAGGTCTGATCTAAAATTTAATTGTATTTAGATTATTATATCTAAAGTTCATAAAGTAGATATGAATGAGAAAAAATAAGTTAAATATGTATTAACACATTCTCAAATTCATATAGAGAAAAGGGAAGCAGAAATTAATTTTTTAGAAAATCCAAAAAGATTAATACTTTAAGGGATAGGATATTGTTATGTAAAATAAAACACATCAGAATGTTACACTTTCTCATATACTATATTACTTACTGATGAATTGAAATAAGACCCAAAAATTATAGCTACAGATACAAAAATTGAAATTATTTTCGATAAGAACTAGGATAATAGTTTGAGATGATATATTAATTTATGCTCTTAACTATTATTTTTAATTACATCATCGGTTATAGTTATTAAACTAATTATTGTAATGTCAAATCAATAAGAACATTAATTTATATATATTTATTAATAAATTTATAACGGAATGAATTCTCCAAGAAATTAAGGTTCTAATTTTACACCTGTAAATACATCTAATGTTTTTACATCTACTATAAATGAAGATGCTTAGAATACTAGTTTTTCATCTTATCATGTAACTCCAAGATAAGGAGCTACTCCTAGATAATTATCAAGAATTTAAGAAAATAATGAGTGTGAAGATTCTAAAATATCAGATACAGATCCTTAGACTTATAGAGAAGTAATTAAAGAATTGTCGACCTAACTCTAAATGGCAATATTAGAAAATAGATAATTCAAAGATAAAATTAATGTGTTAGAAGAAGAACATAATTAAAGCTTTTAAATACTAAACACTTAAAATCAAACACTTCAAGATAGTAATTTTACATTATAAGAAAAAATTAATAATTTGTTTTCAGAAATCTAACAAATGCAAATCTAATTAGAGTAAAAGGACTAAAAATTGAAAGAAGCTAGAGAAAATAATTTATTTTAAAATTAATCATCTGATAAAATGACTCATTTAATAGATGACAATAAAAAATTAATTAAAATTATAGAAACTTAATAATAAGAAATAAATGTTTAAAAAGATGTTATTAAATAATTTGAAAAAGCTTTATAAGATGTTAAAGGTAAAATTGAAACAGACAATAATGAAAAATTTAATATCAAATGTAAAGAAAATGATTAATTTAAACTTGAAATTGAAGCTTTATAATAATAACAATAACAATATAAAGAATAAATAATGCTTTGGAGTTAAAGATATTAATCTCTTGATCAAAATTATTAAATATAATACTAAGATTTATTTTCAAAGTTCAATATTAGTTAAAATCAATTGGCTGAATTATAAAATATTTATTAAACCTAAACAGACAATAGTTAAAGGAAAATCTAATAATTATTATAAGAATTAGATAATGTTAAAGCAGGAACTTTAAAAAAATAATCAAGTTTAAAAGTTAAGGCATTAGAAGAAAGAATTGATGAACTAGAAGAACAACTTTAAATTAAAAAAAATTAAATTTTAAAGCTTAAAGAAGAATTAATAGAATATTAAAATATTTAGAAGTTAGTAAAATAAAGAGATACAGATATAATAACTGATAAGAGAGGTATATAATATTTTTAATTTAGTTGTGGAGAATTAAATATCAGAAAAATATGAATAAAGAATACGTTAATTAGAAGATAAGATTCTTTAATAAGATTAATAAATAGTTCTTACTTAATAATAATAATATTAAAGCTTACCATAATAATAATAAATTGTATTAGCTTAATAATAATAATAATAATAATAATAATAATAATAATAATAATAATAATAATAATAATAATAATAATAATAATAATAATAATAATAATAATAATAATAATAATAATAATAATAATAATAATAATAATAATAACTATATGAACATAATTATTATGCAAGAACAAATGAAAATAAAAAGTTATAATTATTTTCTGAACGAAAGGATAACTTAAGAATGTATTATAGTTTTGCAAAGGAGAATTAATAAATTGAGAATAAATATCCTAGAACTGCTTTAAATTATGGAAATAATTATTGATTTGTTAAAAAAACATTACAATTATTAACTATTTAATCTTATCAGTTTGATTTTTATTTCTTAGACAAATTTTATTATGAAAATGCTTTAGTAATAACCTGTCCTTTTTGTTTTTGCAAACTTATAGGTTTATTGTATCTTAATTATTTAGTGTTTTAATTTTATAAATTTTCTTTGTTTGATTTATTAAACTTATTTACATGTTTAGAAGCTTCAACTTAATTTAATCTTGAAAGTAGATTTGTAGTATCAAAAGATAATCTGCATCTTGAAAAAGATTCTTTAGATTTTGAAGTTTATATTAATCTTTATGTATTTGGTGATTATGAGTTTTCTCTAATATTTGGTTCAACTGATTAATTTCTTGTTTTAATTTGATCATTTTCTAAAGGATTATCTAACTATTCTATTCTAGGAGTTTATAGTTATTCTATATTTTAAAAGGTTTATTAAAAGATTTTAGTAGATTGATCAATTGATTAATTTTCTACTTATGTATTAAAAATATTTTATTCTAATTAGCATTTAAATGTTAGTTAATTGAGCATATCATTTTAAACTGTCTATGTTTAGAATCCAAACATGGGACTTTATAAATCTGTTTTATTTTCTGATTTATCTTTATTAAATGAATTTAAGGTTTTATTTTAAACAACAGAACAACTTTCATTAGTATAATATTACTAATGAGTATGATCAAATTGGCTAGGTTGTTATTATCTATTTTCTGGTGTAATGAAAACACCTTTTCCTTTCAATTCAGCCTCATCACTTAGATTAGGTGTTAGATTATTTTTTGAAGATGTTTGTATAAAATTCTTTTTAGGATGAGGTGTTATATAATAATATTGTGAAGGAGATATTATTTATTTTTATTCAAGTAAAGTTAATTCAATTTTCATTAAAGAATCTTATAATGATTTAATTTAATTGTATACCTTAAAATAAGAATGATATAAAATACTTCTAATTTTTGTTTATTTTCTCCACAAAATGTTTCAAGAAGTGCTTTTAATTTAACACTTAAACTAGCTTTCATTTAAATAAAAAGTTATTATTATTTATATTTCATTATATGAGTTTGTATTTATTAAGCTGTTTTTAAGATATCCTATCCATTATTAAGTTATCCAAAAAATAACAATAAATTATGTAAAGATTCATAAAATTTTGTTTTGAAATCAGTTATTGATTATTCTAAATCCTAATTGCAATTTAGTTTAATGATTTACTTCAAGCAAACGTTAAGGTTGTGAAATAAATTTTATAGCACTTGTAATAATATTTGATTCAAGTTCAGTAAGCTAGGCATTAAATATATCACATAATTTTTCTGCTGTATTATTCATATGTCGTTAAATTTTATTTTAATTGAATATTATTTAATAATTAATTTTATCACATCTAGAATTTACATCATCCAATCTAAAAACTGGTAAATAATAGAAATATTTTTTGATTATTTTAGATAAACAAATTCTGTAATTATTTTTTGAGAATATATCAATTAATAAATTTTTTATTGTATTAATTTTTTTAGAAGTGGAATGTAATAGATAATTTAAAACAATCTAAGATAGGATGTTTAATCTATTGACAATTCAAATATTAGTAATTCTAGAGACTAAATTTAATTAGATGATTAATTTTCAAAAAAAATTTAAGCCTTATTAGAGTATGGATTATATGATTAAGCATATGAGAGAGTGATGCAAAATAAATAATAAGTTTAGGATAACTTTTAATTGTTAATAGAAATGTAATTTCATTTCAATATTGTAAAGAGCAAGATTATTTAATACTTTTAAATAACATAAATTAGCTTTAGAAATTATCAAACTTTCAAATGTTTTTGATTAATAGTTAGATATGCATTAAGATCAGCTAATAATTATATTTAAATAATATTATTTAGAGACTTTAGTTGAATTATAAGATATCTAAGAAGTATTAAAAGAAACAAAGAATATTTATAATGAATAAGTAAGGAAGGTAAAAAAAATTAATAAAATTTAGATAATATAAGATGAATTACATTTGATAGAAGCACAAAAAAAAGGATAAAATAATTAACAACTTCATAATTCTCATGAAAATCATCATTCATAATTAACTATTGAGATTCCTAAATAAAAACGACATCCTTTATTAAAATTTTTAAGCAAAAAGACTTTAATCTTATTTTTTATTTTGTTTATAATTACATATTATACAATAAAGAGAAGAAGTGACATAAAAGAACTTTTAGAAAAAGCAAAACTAATTTTTAGATAATTTATAAACATTTGAACTTTAAGAATATGAGAGTAAATTAAAAGTATATATATATATATATATTAAATATTATTCTTTAAATATTTATATAGATGAAATTTATCTTAAATATGATTTCATAGAATTTATTATAATTGTAATATAAAATTAAAATTAAGTTATGATTAAATTAATATCTAATTTTTGTTCTCTTCAAAAATACTACCCTACAAAATATGTAGCACCAAATTTATGGATCAATGGAAAATATATTCCAATATTTAAATAGAGAGAGTTAACTTAAGAAGAGTAAAAATAGAAATAATATTTACGAATTGTAAAATTGATTCCAATCACACTTTATTCTAGTTATTGGCTATTTTTTGGATCTTTAGATGTTCTTCACATATCAGCATTTTTAGGAATATTTGTATTATATTTGAATAATGATATAGTTAATCTATTCTAAACAAAGATTTACATATTTAAAATAAGAAGCTAAGAAACCTGAATATATTTATATGGATAAAAATGGCAAGGATTATATTATTATTTATAAATTGAATGCTTCTGAACCTAAAAGTATATGTGAAGATTAAGAATTAAAAGAGACTTTTAAATTGAGTGAGAATTAAGGATTATTTAAATTTAATTATAATGATTTCAAAATTGTAAATTCTGCAGTTTAACCAAAAAGTGAATATGAATTTTTTAATTTATTTGTCTTAGAGAATAGTGAAGAAGAATTTAGTAAAAGACCTCATAATATGTTTGAACTGGATATTAATATGAAATTAATTTTAATAAAGTTTTGGTAAAATGAATATAGTGGTATGAATGAATATTTAAATGCTTTGATGAGTAAGAAATAAATTATAATAAAATGAATTTAATATCATTACTAATTAAAATGATCACGATACTTTTTTATTAATTTCTTAATCTCATTTTTGCTTGCTGTTTTAGTCATTATTGGTTTTAATTTTAATTTCATATTGCATTCAGAATATGTTAATATTTCTAATTTATTGTCCTCTATTTATCTTATATAATTTCCACTCAATAATAAATAGGCTCTAGTTGTAGATTTAGTTGATGGATTACTATATAATATTAATCATAAATTACAAAGGTTAAAATTCATCACTTTCAATTGATTTGCTTATTTCAAATAAGGTATTTTCATCAATAAATTTTGAATAATTTATAAATAGAAAATCACGTGGATCCATAAAAAGGATCTTTTTATATCTAAGATAATTAATTCTTATTTAACTATTTGAATAATGCTATTCAAATTAATCAATAGAGGTATCTAGTTTTTTTTACATTTCTAAATCTTTCATAAATTCAATATATTTCTAAATAGTTGTATTAAGTGTATATTTATATCTCATTTGATGAATTTAGAATTTTTCAGGAGTCTCTATATATTTGATCCAAAAACTAAATTCATCTTAATTATCTTCAAGTTATTCATATCCTTCATAATCATATAGAATTGTATTATAAATTTAAAATGATTGATTTCCTAATTCAATCAAAAACTCTATATTATTTAAATCAACATTTGGAGTCGTTTCTATAAATTATCTAACACTGCTTATATCAATAGTTTAAGGAAGTACTTCTATTATTTCCTATTTCTCTATTAATTATTAATTTTGTTATTCTATTCTATTATCCAAATCATTGGCCACTAATTCAGTCTCATAATCTTAGAAAATATTTAAAATGTAAAAATACTTTCTTTTTTTAATTCTTCTTTTAGATTATTATCAATATCTTTATCTAAGTTCAATTCTACTTAATTAAATTCTTGCATCTAATAATGTGTACTATTGTTTCGGATTTTAGCATATTAGAAGATAGTTAAGCATTTATTTAACAAAAACTTTATCCATATAATGCATTAATTCATATAAAATTATTTTTATGATTAAAACATAATGTAAATTTTGATAATTATTTCAAATAAATTAACAAATAATAGACCTCATAAACAGAATAGTTAAAATTTAATTATATAAAATAGATATTAAAGAAAAGTTGTCTTCTGTTCTTAATTTGTATTAAGTACAATATTTACATAAAATTTATGTTCTCAAAATGATCTATTTTCAGGTTTAAGATACTTAAAAATGATATCTGCAGAAACAAATTAATAATTTAATAAAGCTAAATCCATAGCTGTTTATCCAAAATACTATTAAAGATATTTAAAATGTGTACATTTTGAATATTAACATCAGCACCATTTCTCAATAAATAATCAACAATTTATGTAGCTCTACATTTTGATGCTGACATTAATATAGTATTCCCTTCATCATTCTAATAATTAATATCTAAAGAAGCTTCTAATTTTAATATTTCTTTCAAATCTAATAATCGATGTTTCATCATAAATATTCTTTCTATTAAAGTTTTATCTTCATTTTTAGTTTATTAGATAATCATATTTCTAAATTATAATGATTATGGATCCATTGATAATTAATTTTCATTATTTTATTTATTAATTTATTGAGTTTATTAATTTTGCTTTAAAACTATTTATTATTCCTTTTCTATAACTACAGCTAAATTATTATTAACTTTAGTGATCTATTTTTTATATGGATATTTAGATCCTCCTTAAATTTATAAGAACTTTTAGGAAGGTCCTTTAAAATAATCATTAATATATTACTTCTCAATCCATTTCTAACTATTCCTAATTAATTTTGATAAACATTCTTTTAAGTAGTTGTTTCACTCTAATTTAAATAACAATTATTTTACAATATTAGATGGGGATTCAGATCTACTCTTTTTAACTGGAGGTAATGATAAATTCATTAAATTCATTTATTTTGGTATTGTTTTTATTGTATGTCGTGATTTTAACATATTTGAACATTTTAAAGAAGTGATATCCATTATTATCTGATAAATTACTTTTCATCTGAGCTTATAAGTTATTTAAAATTATCTTTAAATAATCCTATACACATAGTTTCATGTTAATTATAAAATTTCTACAAATATTTTTATCTATCTTTTTTATGTATTCTTTGAAATAACCTATTTAGAGCTTCCAAATCTATCTAAATATTTTTTTATATATACGAGGTTAATGAGGTAGTTCATAATCTATATGGATTATTTCTTCCATATCATTTGCAAAAGCTATAATTTACTAATCCACAAGTATATTCTTTGACTCATCTGAAATTGTTGAAATTATAAATTTTATTAATTTTTCTTTTATATTGCTTGGATTTAATAAATTTGATTAGCATAATAATTTTAATTTAATTCCTAAATATTCCTATTAACTTTTGCTTGTGATATAACTGATATCATGCTTGAATCTTAAGAATCATCAGGTTCAGGACACTTGTAAATTATGCTATTAATATCTAAAAATCTTGTTGTTTGAAAGTCTTACTTAACTATAAATAATAGTTACTATAATTGATTGATCCAGAAGAATTTTTGATATACAAAGCTATTGATCAAATTTAGAATTCTATTTCATAATATTTAAAATTCTATCATTTTCTTTTTTTTCTTCATGAACATATTTTTAGAAACAAGAAAATAAATATTTGATATTTTTGGATTTTTGATTTCAATAATTTCATTTGATTACAATTATAATTTAGTTGAATCTTGTTCCATATATTTAGGAAGTTAAAATTCAATTTTATTTTATTTTTGTTCTTCAACTCATTCAATAAATACTTTAATTTTCTTTTTATTATTTTTGGGAAATTAAGGAGTAGTAGCACATATTGAGGATTAATTACCAATATCTTAAGACTTCTCCTTAATTCCTTCTATAAGACTTTTCATAGGTTTAAGAGATTCATCTTAGTGTGTTAAAGTAATTTGAGAATTAAATTTTGTATTTTTTTTAGTTATAACTGATTGTTAATATTAGAATAGTAGTGATTATTATGGAAGATGTTGAGTTTAAGTTTATAAGAAAATATTGAATTTAGACATTTAAGTGTCNTAATTTAAATAACAATTATTTTACAATATTAGATGGGGATTCAGATCTACTCTTTTTAACTGGAGGTAATGATAAATTCATTAAATTCATTTATTTTGGTATTGTTTTTATTGTATGTCGTGATTTTAACATATTTGAACATTTTAAAGAAGTGATATCCATTATTATCTGATAAATTACTTTTCATCTGAGCTTATAAGTTATTTAAAATTATCTTTAAATAATCCTATACACATAGTTTCATGTTAATTATAAAATTTCTACAAATATTTTTATCTATCTTTTTTATGTATTCTTTGAAATAACCTATTTAGAGCTTCCAAATCTATCTAAATATTTTTTTATATATACGAGGTTAATGAGGTAGTTCATAATCTATATGGATTATTTCTTCCATATCATTTGCAAAAGCTATAATTTACTAATCCACAAGTATATTCTTTGACTCATCTGAAATTGTTGAAATTATAAATTTTATTAATTTTTCTTTTATATTGCTTGGATTTAATAAATTTGATTAGCATAATAATTTTAATTTAATTCCTAAATATTCCTATTAACTTTTGCTTGTGATATAACTGATATCATGCTTGAATCTTAAGAATCATCAGGTTCAGGACACTTGTAAATTATGCTATTAATATCTAAAAATCTTGTTGTTTGAAAGTCTTACTTAACTATAAATAATAGTTACTATAATTGATTGATCCAGAAGAATTTTTGATATACAAAGCTATTGATCAAATTTAGAATTCTATTTCATAATATTTAAAATTCTATCATTTTCTTTTTTTTCTTCATGAACATATTTTTAGAAACAAGAAAATAAATATTTGATATTTTTGGATTTTTGATTTCAATAATTTCATTTGATTACAATTATAATTTAGTTGAATCTTGTTCCATATATTTAGGAAGTTAAAATTCAATTTTATTTTATTTTTGTTCTTCAACTCATTCAATAAATACTTTAATTTTCTTTTTATTATTTTTGGGAAATTAAGGAGTAGTAGCACATATTGAGGATTAATTACCAATATCTTAAGACTTCTCCTTAATTCCTTCTATAAGACTTTTCATAGGTTTAAGAGATTCATCTTAGTGTGTTAAAGTAATTTGAGAATTAAATTTTGTATTTTTTTTAGTTATAACTGATTGTTAATATTAGAATAGTAGTGATTATTATGGAAGATGTTGAGTTTAAGTTTATAAGAAAATATTGAATTTAGACATTTAAGTGTCTATAATTGTTTTACTTTTAAGTTCTTTTTCTTCTGATCTTTCTGTATGAGTTTTAAATAATTATATAATTTTTCTTAATATTTTTGAACTTCTATATTTTGATTTTACATTAACTTTGATTTTATAATTTGAATTCTGATGATTTAGATGTTAATATTAATTCTTCACAAAAAACATTAATATTAAGTTTAATTTGTTATACTTGTTAAATTTAATTTCTTTAACTTCAGATTCTTAAATTTGAATTGAAGGTTAAGTTTTAATTCTTTAGTATAGAAAGACTCCACTTGATTTTCTGCTAATTAAAACAACAGATTTTTTTAATTAATTAACAACAGATTAATCTAATTCAGTTTTGATTCTTAATGAATTAGGCTATAATTCAGGTAATTTAATAAAGTCTCATTTTACTTCGATGTTTTATTCGAGTAAAAGTTAGATATGATGCAGGTTTTGATTCAATTGATCTTGTAATAGCTGAATTAGTACTCTTTTATGATATAGGTTTGATTAAAGACTTAAGAAAGTAATGATTCTCATGTTATTTCATTTATTATAAAATTATTTAATAGTATATACATATACATGAATATGTATTTAAATATGATTATAGTATAATTTAAATGAAGTAATTTATTGAATACAATAGTTAATAAGTTTCATAATATAAATATGTTGTATTGAATTTGATTAAATTAAGCATCAAAATAAATTTACAAATAACTTTAATGTTACAAATATTGGGAATCCTAATTATTATAGAACATAAATATAAAATCCTTGGTTTTTTTATCAAATATAATCATGATAGTATTTGGACCAAGTTGTAATATATATAATAGGATATGATTGAGAAAGGATAGATAGTTTACACAAATTTCTACTAGATATAAATAAACCCAAATAGCCACATCTATAGATATTAAGTAATAATAATTAATCTTATCATAAAGATTGCTTTTTAACCTATGATAACTCCAGAATAGTAGATATGTAAATGGAGAGATATTTTTAAATCAGCAAAAACAGGATTATAGGATAATCTAAAGGTTTTTATTACAAACAATTAAATATTATACTCTCCTGTAAGAGCATAGACTATGGGATTAATTTTAGGAGTATATGAAGATGAAGGTGTTCATTATACACTCTCTTTAGAAGAAAAAGCTATTCTTAAATCAGGAGAACCTGAATATACTGGATTGATTGCAAGATTCTTTAAAATGTTGTTAAAACAATAAAGATTATTACAAATTGGTAGAAAGTACTTTAATACTAAAAATATTATTAATTTTGATTAATTTGGTTTAAAAGTAAAATTTATAATCTAATTAAGGTATTACCTGGAGTTACTTGCAGTCTTATAAAACAAGAAGATAAGGGTAAATATTATATTAATATTGATTCCTCATTCAAAATGTTAAGAAGTACAACTATGTATGAGGAATTAAGAAATTCTAGAGATTTTTCATTAGTAGAAGGAACTATTGTTATGACAATTTATAATTACAAATTTTACAGAGTTAATAAGATTAGTAGAGAAATGAATCCTAAAAGTGAATTTACTAATTAGAATGGTTCAAAAATGAGTTACATGAATTATTATTCAGAAAAGTATTTATTTATATTTATTTTAGATACAAAATTACAATCAAAGATTAAGCTTAACCATTAATTGAAGTCATAGAAAAGTCTAGAAAAAAACAGGAAGAAAAAATCATATATCTTATACCTGAATTATGTGTATTGACAGGATTATCTAATGAAATGAGAAATAATTTCTAGACAATGAAATAATTGTCAACTGTTACTAAACCAAGAGGAGTTGATAGAGTAAAATAAGCAGATCAATTCATTTAATGTTTTCATTAAAAAGAGAGCGAGGATTTAATTAAGAAATGGAATATTTAATTGGAATCTAAATGTCTACAAATATAAAGTCTTAAAGTAAAGCCTGGAAATATAGTAATGGGAAACAATACTTCAATTAATATAGAGACTGGTAATTTAGATAGAGACACTTAAACTGCAATGTTAAGAGGAGTAGGTTTAGAAAATTGGGGTATTTTATATAGTGATAGAGATTAAAGATAGGCTGAAGACTTTATGTAATGTTTAAGAGAAAGTATCGAATATTGTAAATTTTAATGCAAAGCTCCAAAAACATTTTAGATTCATTCTAATAGAATAGAAGATTGGATAAAATAAATTGATATAATAGTTTAATAATCATAAGGACCTTAAAAAGTAACACTTTTAGTATTAATATTAAATGGGCCTAAAAAGAATGCACCTTTGTATACAGATCTTAAAAGATATTTAATAAATGATTGCCCAATAGCATCATAAGTAATATTAAGTTCAACATTAAATTAAC